TGTCATACTTGTGATGTATTGGGGAGGCTGAGGGGGGTGTGGAGGAGGTTGTAGTGATGTTGTGGACACTCTCTTCCGGGCAGAGAGATGAAGGGGTCAGACACAGCACTACTCCACAGCGGGAACACAGCGCTGACACCCGCTATGGCAGTCTTGGGCAGGTGTGTACAGTGGCAGGTGTGGGCTGTCGGTTGTTGTGAGGTGTGGTGTGTTGTGGTGCATGGTGTGTTGTTGGGGCATGGTGTGTTGTGGGGCATGGTGTGTTGTGGTGCATGGTGTGTTGTTGGGGCATGGTGTGTTGTGGTGCATGGTGTGTTGTGGTGCATGGTGTGTTGTGGTGCATGGTGTGTTGTGTGGCATGGTGTGTTGTGGTGTATGGTGTGTTGTGGTGCATGGTGTGTTGTGGTGCATGGTGTGTTGTTGGGGCATGGTGTGTTGTTGGGGCATGGTGTGTTGTTGGGGCATGGTGTGTTGTGGTGCATGGTGTGTTGTGGTGCATGGTGTGTTGTGTGGCATGGTGTGTTGTGGTGCATGGTGTGTTGTGGTGCATGGTGTGTTGTGGTGCATGGTGTGTTGTGGTGCATGGTGTGTTGTTGGGGCATGGTGTGTTGCTGGGGCATGGTGTGTTGTGGTGCATGGTGTGTTGTGGTGCATGGTGTGTTGTGGTGCATGGTGTGTTGTTGGGGCATGGTGTGTTGTGGTGCACGGTGTGTTGTGGTGCATGGTGTGTTGTGTGGCATGGTGTGTTGTGGTGCATGGTGTGTTGTGGTGCATGGTGTGTTGTGGTGCATGGTGTGTTGTTGGGGCATGGGTGTGTTGTGGTGCATGGTGTGTTGTTGGGGCATGGTGTGTTGTGGTGCATGGTGTGTTGTGGTGCATGGTGTGTTGTGTGGCATGGTGTGTTGTTGGGGCATGGTGTGTTGTGGTGCATGGTGTGTTGTTGGGGCATGGTGTGTTGTGGTGCATGGTGTGTTGTTGGTGCATGGTGTGTTGTGGTGCATGGTGTGTTGTGGTGCATGGTGTGTTGTGGTGCATGGTGTGTTGTGGTGCATGGTGTGTTGTGGTGCATGGTGTGTTGTGGTGCATGGTGTGTTGTTGGGGCATGGTGTGTTGTGGTGCATGGTGTGTTGTGGTGCATGGTGTGTTGTGTGGCATGGTGTGTTGTGGTGCATGGTGTGTTGTGGTGCATGGTGTGTTGTGGTGCATGGTGTGTTGTTGGGGCATGGTGTGTTGTTGGGGCATGGTGTGTTGTGGTGCATGGTGTGTTGTGGTGCATGGTGTGTTGTGGTGCATGGTGTGTTGTGTGGCATGGTGTGTTGTGGTGCACGGTGTGTTGTGTGGCATGGTGTGTTGTGGTGCATGGTGTGTTGTGGTGCATGGTGTGTTGTTGGGGCATGGTGTGTTGTGGTGCATGGTGTGTTGTGGTGCATGGTGTGTTGTGGTGCATGGTGTGTTGTGTGGCATGGTGTGTTGTGGTGCATGGTGTGTTGTGGTGCATGGTGTGTTGTTGGGGCATGGTGTGTTGTTGGGGCATGGTGTGTTGCTGGGGCATGGTGTGTTGTTGGGGCATGGTGTGTTGTGGTGCATGGTGTGTTGTGGTGCATGGTGTGTTGTGTGGCATGGTGTGTTGTGGTGCACGGTGTGTTGTGTGGCATGGTGTGTTGTGGTGCATGGTGTGTTGTGGTGCATGGTGTGTTGTGGTGCATGGTGTGTTGTGGTGCATGGTGTGTTGTGGTGCATGGTGTGTTGTGAGGCATGGTGTGTTGTGAGGCATGGTGTGTTGTGGTGCATGGTGTGTTGTGTGGCATGGTGTGTTGTGGTGCATGGTGTGTTGCTGGGGCATGGTGTGTTGTTGGGGCATGGTGTGTTGTGGTGCATGGTGTGTTGTGGTGCATGGTGTGTTGTGTGGCATGGTGTGTTGTGGTGCATGGTGTGTTGTGGTGCATGGTGTGTTGTGTGGCATGGTGTGTTGTGGTGCATGGTGTGTTGTGGTGCATGGTGTGTTGTGGTGCATGGTGTGTTGTGTGGCATGGTGTGTTGTGGTGCATGGTGTGTTGTGGTGCATGGTGTGTTGTGGGGCATGGTGTGTTGTGGTGCATGGTGTGTTGTGGTGCATGGTGTGTTGTGAGGCATGGTGTGTTGTGAGGCATGGTGTGTTGTGAGGCATGGTGTGTTGTGGTGCATGGTGTGTTGTGAGGCATGGTGTGTTGTGAGGCATGGTGTGTTGTGAGGCATGGTGTGTTGTGGTGCATGGTGTGTTGTGAGGCATGGTGTGTTGTGAGGCATGGTGTGTTGTGAGGCATGGTGTGTTGTGGGGCATGGTGTGTTGTGAGGCATGGTGTGTTGTGAGGCATGGTGTGTTGTGAGGCATGGTGTGTTGTGAGGCATGGTGTGTTGTGGTGCATGGTGTGTTGTGGTGCATGGTGTGTTGTGAGGCATGGTGTGTTGTGAGGCATGGTGTGTTGTGAGGCATGGTGTGTTGTGAGGCATGGTGTGTTGTGGTGCATGGTGTGTTGTGGTGCATGGTGTGTTGTGAGGCATGGTGTGTTGTGGTGCATGGTGTGTTGTGGTGCATGGTGTGTTGTGAGGCATGGTGTGTTGTGAGGCATGGTGTGTTGTGGGGCATGGTGTGTTGTGAGGCATGGTGTGTTGTGGTGCATGGTGTGTTGTGGTGCATGGTGTGTTGTGAGGCATGGTGTGTTGTGGTGCATGGTGTGTTGTGGTGCATGGTGTGTTGTGAGGCATGGTGTGTTGTGGTGCATGGTGTGTTGTGAGGCATGGTGTGTTGTGGTGCATGGTGTGTTGTGGTGCATGGTGTGTTGTGGTGCATGGTGTGTTGTGAGGCATGGTGTGTTGTGGTGCATGGTGTGTTGTGGTGCAAGGTGTGTTGTGAGGCATGGTGTGTTGTGGTGCATGGTGTGTTGTGGTGCATGGTGTGTTGTGAGGCATGGTGTGTTGTGGTGCATGGTGTGTTGTGGTGCAGGGTGTGTTGTGAGGCATGGTGTGTTGTGGTGCATGGTGTGTTGTGGTGCATGGTGTGTTGTGAGGCATGGTGTGTTGTGAGGCATGGTGTGTTGTTGGGGCATGGTGTGTTGTGGTGCATGGTGTGTTGTGGGGCATGGTGTGTTGTGAGGCATGGTGTGTTGTGGGGCATGGTGTGTTGTGGTGCATGGTGTGTTGTAGAACACGGGCTGCTGTAGAACACGGGCTGTTGTAGAACACGGGCTGCTGGAGAACACGGGCTGCTGTAGAACACGGGCTGCTGTAGAACACGGGCTGTTGTAGAACACGGGCTGCTGTAGAACACGGGCTGTTGTAGAACACGGGCTGCTGTAGAACACGGGCTATTGTAGAACACGGGCTGTTGTAGAACACGGGCTGCTGTAGAACACGGGCTGTTGTAGAACACGGGCTGTTGTAGAACACGGGCTGCTGTAGAACACGGGCTGTTGTAGAACACGGGCTGCTGTAGAACACGGGCTGCTGTAGAACACGGGCTGCTGTAGAACACGGGCGGCTGTAGAACACGGGCTGCTGTAGAACACGGGCTGCTGTAGAACACGGGCTGCTGTAGAACACGGGCTGCTGTAGAACACGGGCTGCTGTAGAACACGGGCGGCTGGAGTACACGGGCTGCTGTAGAACACGGGCTGCTGTAGAACACGGGCTGCTGTAGAACACGGGCTGTTGTAGAACACGGGCTGCTGTAGAACACGGGCTACTGTAGAACACGGGCTGTTGTAGAACACGGGCTGCTGTAGAACACGGGCTGTTGTAGAACACAGGCTGCTGTAGAACACGGGCTGCTGTAGAACACGGGCTGCTGTAGAACACGGGCGGCTGTAGAACACGGGCTGCTGTAGAACACGGGCTGCTGTAGAACGCGGTGTAACATAACAGACACGGTGATGGAAATCTATTTCATGAACAATGTTCACCTGGTGAACACCTGAGTGTTCAGGAACATGACGGAAGCGCTTGGGCAGTGTTCCGGACACAGAGCACCCAGCGCCTGTGTTCTCCCGCTTCATAACACACATGTTTAATTACTCCTGTGTAATCTGATCTCTGGACAGCACAGCACACAGGGAGAGAGAGAGAGAGAGAGAGAGAGAGAGAGAGAGAGAGAGAGAGAGAGAGAGAGAGAGAGAGAGAGAGAGAGAGAGAGAGAGAGAGAGAGAGAGAGAGAGAGAGAGAGAGAGAGAAAGAGAGCCAGTGAGGGAGTTTAACATTAGAGAGTCAAGAGAAAATAAGGGGAGACATGAGCACATCATCCACGATACTGAAGGGAAAAAGACAAGGTGGATCAAGATATCTTCTTTAAACTGAGGGAAAGCGGGAAGCTCAGGACTTAAAAGTCAAAGATACGTAAGGAAATACTCGAACCCTTGATCCGCGGTCGACAAGTTGAATTCACTGGAAGGAGAAGTTGTGGAAGCCACCTCGATCCACAACCACCCCTAGTAGTCACTGGTAGTTAAGTATTAATAGGTTAGCACAACTGTTACACGCTATACACACACCTGTCACATGTGCGCAGCAGGTTTGCAGTAGATTCATTTGTCACAAACGCTTGTAGCACACATCTGTCACATACGCACACATGTCGCATACTCATTTGATGAACACATCTGACGCAGACACGGATGTAGTAGACACTTGTCCATACACACCTGCTTCAATCACACACACACACATACACACGTGTAAGAGATGCAGCAGGTGTGTGCCGTGGCAGGAGGGAGAGTGTAGTATGGAGGAGGTGTAAGTGTGTTGTGTCTCCAGCAGGCGACGGAGTACGTGTTCACGGACATGCAGAGTACGGACCGCCACCAGCACGCCCACGACTGCTACTCCACCACCCACAAGCGTGCCAACGCTCTCCTCCAGTGGTTTGACACCGTGAGTATACTGCTCTTATATATATATATATATATATATATATATATATATATATATATATATATAAGCCTATACTTGCATAAACCACAAGTGAAGATAAACAATCTTTGGACAACACCCACCAGTGGGACTCGAACCCAGAAAGCACAACTACCTTCCAGTAGCTGGCATAACTAGTATGCTTTAACCCACTACGCCATCAGACCTTACAAAAGAAGTAGATAGTTCGAGATATATATATCTCAAACATCTCTACCTCCCGAAGGCACCAGATGAGTGAGGGGTCAATCTGCAATTTTCGTCAAGCCACTGTCAATGTGAGAGAACTCGTGTCCAGCTTATAAGCCTATACTTGCATAAACCACAAGTGAAGATAAACAATCTTTGGACAACACCCACCAGTGGGACTCGAACCCAGAAAGCACAACTACCTTCCAGTAGCTGGCATAACTAGTATGCTTTAACCCACTACGCCATCAGACCTTACAAAAGAAGTAGATAGTTCGAGATATATATATCTCAAACATCTCTACCTCCCGAAGGCACCAGATGAGTGAGGGGTCAATCTGCAATTTTCGTCAAGCCACTGTCAATGTGAGAGAACTCGTGTCCAGCTTATAAGCCTATACTTGCATAAACCACAAGTGAAGATAAACAATCTTTGGACAACACCCACCAGTGGGACTCGAACCCAGAAAGCACAACTACCTTCCAGTAGCTGGCATAACTAGTATGCTTTAACCCACTACGCCATCAGACCTTACAAAAGAAGTAGATAGTTCGAGATATATATATCTCAAACATCTCTACCTCCCGAAGGCACCAGATGAGTGAGGGGTCAATCTGCAATTTTCGTCAAGCCACTGTCAATGTGAGAGAACTCGTGTCCAGCTTATAAGCCTATACTTGCATAAACCACAAGTGAAGATAAACAATCTTTGGACAACACCCACCAGTGGGACTCGAACCCAGAAAGCACAACTACCTTCCAGTAGCTGGCATAACTAGTATGCTTTAACCCACTACGCCATCAGACCTTACAAAAGAAGTAGATAGTTCGAGATATATATATCTCAAACATCTCTACCTCCCGAAGGCACCAGATGAGTGAGGGGTCAATCTGCAATTTTCGTCAAGCCACTGTCAATGTGAGAGAACTCGTGTCCAGCTTATAAGCCTATACTTGCATAAACCACAAGTGAAGATAAACAATCTTTGGACAACACCCACCAGTGGGACTCGAACCCAGAAAGCACAACTACCTTCCAGTAGCTGGCATAACTAGTATGCTTTAACCCACTACGCCATCAGACCTTACAAAAGAAGTAGATAGTTCGAGATATATATATCTCAAACATCTCTACCTCCCGAAGGCACCAGATGAGTGAGGGGTCAATCTGCAATTTTCGTCAAGCCACTGTCAATGTGAGAGAACTCGTGTCCAGCTTATAAGCCTATACTTGCATAAACCACAAGTGAAGATAAACAATCTTTGGACAACACCCACCAGTGGGACTCGAACCCAGAAAGCACAACTACCTTCCAGTAGCTGGCATAACTAGTATGCTTTAACCCACTACGCCATCAGACCTTACAAAAGAAGTAGATAGTTCGAGATATATATATCTCAAACATCTCTACCTCCCGAAGGCACCAGATGAGTGAGGGGTCAATCTGCAATTTTCGTCAAGCCACTGTCAATGTGAGAGAACTCGTGTCCAGCTTATAAGCCTATACTTGCATAAACCACAAGTGAAGATAAACAATCTTTGGACAACACCCACCAGTGGGACTCGAACCCAGAAAGCACAACTACCTTCCAGTAGCTGGCATAACTAGTATGCTTTAACCCACTACGCCATCAGACCTTACAAAAGAAGTAGATAGTTCGAGATATATATATCTCAAACATCTCTACCTCCCGAAGGCACCAGATGAGTGAGGGGTCAATCTGCAATTTTCGTCAAGCCACTGTCAATGTGAGAGAACTCGTGTCCAGCTTATAAGCCTATACTTGCATAAACCACAAGTGAAGATAAACAATCTTTGGACAACACCCACCAGTGGGACTCGAACCCAGAAAGCACAACTACCTTCCAGTAGCTGGCATAACTAGTATGCTTTAACCCACTACGCCATCAGACCTTACAAAAGAAGTAGATAGTTCGAGATATATATATCTCAAACATCTCTACCTCCCGAAGGCACCAGATGAGTGAGGGGTCAATCTGCAATTTTCGTCAAGCCACTGTCAATGTGAGAGAACTCGTGTCCAGCTTATAAGCCTATACTTGCATAAACCACAAGTGAAGATAAACAATCTTTGGACAACACCCACCAGTGGGACTCGAACCCAGAAAGCACAACTACCTTCCAGTAGCTGGCATAACTAGTATGCTTTAACCCACTACGCCATCAGACCTTACAAAAGAAGTAGATAGTTCGAGATATATATATCTCAAACATCTCTACCTCCCGAAGGCACCAGATGAGTGAGGGGTCAATCTGCAATTTTCGTCAAGCCACTGTCAATGTGAGAGAACTCGTGTCCAGCTTATAAGCCTATACTTGCATAAACCACAAGTGAAGATAAACAATCTTTGGACAACACCCACCAGTGGGACTCGAACCCAGAAAGCACAACTACCTTCCAGTAGCTGGCATAACTAGTATGCTTTAACCCACTACGCCATCAGACCTTACAAAAGAAGTAGATAGTTCGAGATATATATATCTCAAACATCTCTACCTCCCGAAGGCACCAGATGAGTGAGGGGTCAATCTGCAATTTTCGTCAAGCCACTGTCAATGTGAGAGAACTCGTGTCCAGCTTATAAGCCTATACTTGCATAAACCACAAGTGAAGATAAACAATCTTTGGACAACACCCACCAGTGGGACTCGAACCCAGAAAGCACAACTACCTTCCAGTAGCTGGCATAACTAGTATGCTTTAACCCACTACGCCATCAGACCTTACAAAAGAAGTAGATAGTTCGAGATATATATATCTCAAACATCTCTACCTCCGAAGGCACCAGATGAGTGAGGGGTCAATCTGCAATTTTCGTCAAGCCACTGTCAATGTGAGAGAACTCGTGTCCAGCTTATAAGCCTATACTTGCATAAACCACAAGTGAAGATAAACAATCTTTGGACAACACCCACCAGTGGGACTCGAACCCAGAAAGCACAACTACCTTCCAGTAGCTGGCATAACTAGTATGCTTTAACCCACTACGCCATCAGACCTTACAAAAGAAGTAGATAGTTCGAGATATACCTCCCTCACTCATCTGGTGCCTTCGGGAGGTAGAGATGTTTGAGATATATATATCTCGAACTATCTACTTCTTTTGTAAGGTCTGATGGCGTAGTGGGTTAAAGCATACTAGTTATGCCAGCTACTGGAAGGTAGTTGTGCTTTCTGGGTTCGAGTCCCACTGGTGGGTGTTGTCCAAAGATTGTTTATCTTCACTTGTGGTTTATGCAAGTATAGGCTTATAAGCTGGACACGAGTTCTCTCACATTGACAGTGGCTTGACGAAAATTGCAGATTGACCCCTCACTCATCTGGTGCCTTCGGGAGGTAGAGATGTTTGAGATATATATATCTCGAACTATCTACTTCTTTTGTAAGGTCTGATGGCGTAGTGGGTTAAAGCATACTAGTTATGCCAGCTACTGGAAGGTAGTTGTGCTTTCTGGGTTCGAGTCCCACTGGTGGGTGTTGTCCAAAGATTGTTTATCTTCACTTGTGGTTTATGCAAGTATAGGCTTATAAGCTGGACACGAGTTCTCTCACATTGACAGTGGCTTGACGAAAATTGCAGATTGACCCCTCACTCATCTGGTGCCTTCGGGAGGTAGAGATGTTTGAGATATATATATCTCGAACTATCTACTTCTTTTGTAAGGTCTGATGGCGTAGTGGGTTAAAGCATACTAGTTATGCCAGCTACTGGAAGGTAGTTGTGCTTTCTGGGTTCGAGTCCCACTGGTGGGTGTTGTCCAAAGATTGTTTATCTTCACTTGTGGTTTATGCAAGTATAGGCTTATAAGCTGGACACGAGTTCTCTCACATTGACAGTGGCTTGACGAAAATTGCAGATTGACCCCTCACTCATCTGGTGCCTTCGGGAGGTAGAGATGTTTGAGATATATATATCTCGAACTATCTACTTCGTTTTGTAAGGTCTGATGGCGTAGTGGGTTAAAGCACTTGTGGTTTACTAGTTATGCCAGCTACTGGAAGGTAGTTGTGCTTTCTGGGTTAAAGGTTCGAGTCCCACTGGTGGGTGTTGTCCAAAGATTGTTTATCTTCACTTGTGGTTTATGCAAGTATAGGCTTATAAGCTGGACACGAGTTCTCTCACATTGACAGTGGCTTGACGAAAATTGCAGATTGACCCCTCACTCATCTGGTGCCTTCGGGAGGTAGAGATGTTTGAGATATATATATCTCGAACTATCTACTTCTTTTGTAAGGTCTGATGGCGTAGTGGGTTAAAGCATACTAGTTATGCCAGCTACTGGAAGGTAGTTGTGCTTTCTGGGTTCGAGTCCCACTGGTGGGTGTTGTCCAAAGATTGTTTATCTTCACTTGTGGTTTATGCAAGTATAGGCTTATAAGCTGGACACGAGTTCTCTCACATTGACAGTGGCTTGACGAAAATTGCAGATTGACCCCTCACTCATCTGGTGCCTTCGGGAGGTAGAGATGTTTGAGATATATATATCTCGAACTATCTACTTCTTTTGTAAGGTCTGATGGCGTAGTGGGTTAAAGCATACTAGTTATGCCAGCTACTGGAAGGTAGTTGTGCTTTCTGGGTTCGAGTCCCACTGGTGGGTGTTGTCCAAAGATTGTTTATCTTCACTTGTGGTTTATGCAAGTATAGGCTTATAAGCTGGACACGAGTTCTCTCACATTGACAGTGGCTTGACGAAAATTGCAGATTGACCCCTCACTCATCTGGTGCCTTCGGGAGGTAGAGATGTTTGAGATATATATATCTCGAACTATCTACTTCTTTTGTAAGGTCTGATGGCGTAGTGGGTTAAAGCATACTAGTTATGCCAGCTACTGGAAGGTAGTTGTGCTTTCTGGGTTCGAGTCCCACTGGTGGGTGTTGTCCAAAGATTATATATATATATATATATATATATATATGTGTATTTTTATATATGGAATAATAAATAAATGTGGAATAAAATCCATATATATATATATATGGATTTTCCGCACATATATATATATATATATATATATATATATATATATATATATATATATATATATATATATATATATATATATATATATAAAATGTGTGTGTGTGTGTATGTATAGTTATATATGTACCTTCAAACACAACTATACAATTGTTTAGCTGTTTACATCTACACCTAAACGACTTTGACAGGTGATTGACGCCAGACATGTTGTCATCAAGCTTTGACTGACAGGTCCTGCTTAGAGAGGTCTGTCAACCAAATACATTCAGATCCTCTAAGAGGGCTCGAACCTCTGGGACGTAGCTTCGAACCCTCGTCACGGCCCATGTGGATTTGTTCAAGATCCCAACGTGTTGATTCAAGGTTGGCAATGAAACTGAAATTGTAATCATTTCAACAGGTGATCAACACGACTATTATGAAGGACCTGCACGAGATTAATCAGAAGGTGATGGCCAAGACCTTGGAGCTGAGAAGGGAGAGAGTCCGGCTGATTCAGGAGAAGGTGAGTCCCACTCATCCAGGAGGTGAGTCCTATGTCAGGGGTGAGTCCCACTCATCCAGGAGGTGAGTCCTATGTCAAGGGTGAGTCCCACTCATCCAGAAGATGAGTCCTATGTCAGGGGTGAGTCCCCACTCATCCAGAAGGTGAGTCCTATGTCAGGGGTGAGTCCCCACTCATCCAGGAGGTGAGTCCTATGTCAGGGGTGAGTCTCCCTCATTCAGGAGGTGAGTCCTATATCAGGGGTGAGTCCCCACTCATCCAGGAGGTGAGTCCTATGTCAGGGGTGAGTCCCCACTCATCCAGGAGGTGAGTCCTATGTCAGGGGTGAGTCTCACTCATCCAGGAGGTGAGTCCTACGTCAGGGGTGAGTCTCACTCATCCAGGAGGTGAGTCCTATGTCAGGGGTGAGTCTCACTCATCCAGGAGGTGAGTCCTATGTCAGGGGTGAGTCTCACTCATCCAGGAGGTGAGTCCTATGTCAGGGGTGAGTCCCACTCATCCAGGAGGTGAGTCCGATGTCAGGGGTGAGTCTCACTCATCCAGGAGGTGAGTCCTATGTCAGGGGTGAGTCTCACTCATCCAGGAGGTGAGTCCTATGTCAGGGGTGAGTCCCACTCATCCAGGAGGTGAGTCCTATGTCAGGGGTGAGTCTCACTCATCCAGGAGGTGAGTCCTATGTCAGGGGTGAGTCTCACTCATCCAGGAGGTGAGTCCTATGTCATCAGTCCCACTCATCCAGGAGGTGAATCCTATCTCAGGGGTGAGTCTCACTCATCCAGAAGGTGAGTCCTATGTCAGGGGTGAGTCCCCACTCATCCAGGAGGTGAGTCCGATGTCAGGGGTGTCTCACTCATCCAGGAGGTGAGTCCTATGTCAGGGGTGAGTCCCACTCATCCAGGAGGTGAGTCCTATGTCAGGGGTGAGTCTCACTCATCCAGAAGGTGAGTCCTATGTCAGGGGTGAGTCCAACTCATCCAGGAGGTGAGTCCTATGTCAGGGGTGAGTCCAACTCATCTAGGAGGTGAGTCCTATGTCATTCGTGTCTCAGATCCGTGTCACCCAACACCGTCAGTGTCTCAGACGCCCGTGTCACCCAACAGGCCCAGGAGATGTGGGGGGAGAACATCGAGCTGGATTCGACGCTGCGCACGTCGAGGCTGGATGTGGAGAGCATGTCAAGGAACCTGGTAACCGACGGCCAAGCGGTCAAGCTCCAGGGAGGAGACGTAAGTAATAACTATAATAATAACAATAAGATTTATTATATTATATAAACCCACAGCGTATAGTGTTTCGGCCGCTCCACTCACTCCTGGGGATTCACGACGCAGTTACGCAAGCACTTACGAACGTGTACATCTTTCCTGAATCTTTGACGGCTTTGGTTACATTTATTAAACAGTTTACAAGCATGAAAACTTGCCAATCAACTGTTGTTATTGTTATAAACAGCCTCCTGGTGCTTCCGAGCTCATTAACTGTTTAATAATTGTAAACATAGCCGCCAAAGATTGAGAAAAGATGGACAGGTTCGTTAGTGCTCGCGTAACTGCTTCGTGAATCTGGTCCTTGGAGCACTGTACCTTCCTGTTAGTCCGGTCCAGTTACCCACAACACTAAATAAATTATTGGGTCAATCCCAGCAATTTTAACAATTATTTTAGTTCTAAAGACCATTAATTAACCATAATTGAAATAAATAACCCAACCCACACACCTGAAAGTATTCAACTTTAAGTGACGATGTTTCGGGCCATTGGCACCCCTTACAAGTGGTAAACAAAGCCGCCATGATTACCGGAAGATGTACAGGTTTCGTAATTAGTTGCATGAATGTTTGATGAATCATGGCCTAGACCCTTTCATGTCAGGATTTGATAAAGTTCTAGGATGGACCAAAACGTCTTAATAAAGGTCCAGGATGGACCGAAACGTCTTGGTAAAAGTCCAGGATGGACCAAAACGTCTGGATAAGGGTCCAGGATGGACCGAAACGTCTTGATAAGGGTCCAGGATGGACCGAAACGTCTTGATAAAGGTCCAGGACGGACCGAAACGTCTTGATAAAGGTCCAGGACGGACCGAAACGTCTTGATAAAGGTCCAGGATGGACCGAAACGTCTTGATAAAGGTCCAGAGAAGATCGAAACGTCGTCACTTCCATTTCTATGATATGTGGGGGTTAAGTTATTTATTTTCAAGCCTGTTATTATAACTTATTCTCTGCCCTTAATATCTGATTGAGAATTACACAAACGCAACCTCATCTGTAGCTCAAGATTTGGGTTATAATAAATTGTGATGATAGGCCCAGGCTTTTGTTTACTACCGTTTACAACTACTGTTAACCACTACCGTTTACAACTACTGTTTACGATAAGTAAACTTGTGGCACCTTGATGAGTGTGTTGTTGGCACTCCTCAGGTGGACAGCGAGAGGGCTGGCACTCCTCCTCCCCTGAGTCAGGAGGAGCTGGCACCGATGCCCTCAAACACCGTAATATTTGGCAACATGTACGACCACTATCAAGGTAAGGGGCCGGGAGGTCGTTTTCTGTGGTGAACTTCTCAGTTTGTTTAGGTAATACTTTTATTTTTGAACCGTTTGTTTATTGTGATGAACTCTTTATTTGCTGTGATGAAGCCTTTATTTGCTGTTATAAACCCTTTATTTGCTGTGATAAACCCTTTATTTGTTGTTATAATCCTTTATTTGCTGTGATAAACCCTTTATTTGTTGTTATAATTCTTTATTTGCTGTGATAAACCCTTTATTTGCTGTGATAAACCCTTTATTTGCTGTGATAAACCCTTTATTTGCCGTGATAAATCCTTTATTTGCTGTGATAATTCCTTTATTTGCTGTGATAATTCCTTTATTTGCTGTGATAAACCCTTTATTTGCTGTGATAAACCCTTTATTTGCTGTGATAAACCCTTTATTTGCTGTGATAAACCCTTTATTTGCCGTGATAAATCCTTTATTTGCTAGGATCAATCTTTTGTTTGCTATGAGGAACCTTTCTCAAGAGTGATCTCATATGTGAGTCCGTCCTCAGAGCAAATCCATTACCGTGAGAAACCACACACCTTACCTGAAACCACCTGGATAGTTAGCCAAATATTTGTGATGGTCTGAAAGCATATTACGTTTCCAGTAATAGTCTACATGTAAACTGGCATGTGAGCCTTTGTCCTCAACAAATATTATTCTCAAGTTATCACTTTATTGTGTTATAAGTCGTTTTTTTAAATATAAAATGTATATGCTGAAAACGTTTCCTTTGAATAATTTGTTTTTCTGTAAGCAGAATTCTCGGGTACACTGAAATAGTTTTGGAATTTCATATTTCCCATTATTGTCGATAATACACCGTATTAATATAACCAAATTGAATGAAACCTAACCAAATTAAGCATAGTCTAAAATAATATTATCGTAATCTAAACATAAACAGAGCACTAATGGACATAATATCACGAATTATGTAGTCGTTCTCGATCCATTCCTGTGATCGGATCTCCTCCTTGAAGGCAGGTTGTGTGTATAGATATGATGTATACCAGTTATATACTCAGTGCTCCAAGTATATTACCTGTATATATACGTGTATGCTCCCTTGACCTCCCTGCTTCCCTACATGTATGCTCCCTGGCCCCCTGCTTCCATACATGTATGCTCCCTGGACCCCTGCTTCCATACATGTATGCTCCCTGGAACCCTGCTTCCATACATGTATGCTCCCTGGACCCCTGCGTCCCTACATGTATGCTCCCTGGACCCCTGCTTCCCTACATGTATGCTCCCTGGACCCCTGCTTCCATACATGTATGCTCCCTGGACCCCTGCTTCCCTACATGTATGCTCCCTGGAACCCTGCTTCCATACATGTATGCTCCCTGGACCCCTGCTTCCCTACATGTATGCTCCCTGGACCCCTGCTTCCCTACATGTATGCTCCCTGGACCCCTGCTTCCATACATGTATGCTCCCTGGACCCCTGCTTCCCTACATGTATGCTCCCTGGACCCCTGCTTCCCTACATGTATGCTCCCTGGACCCCTGCTTCCATACATGTATGCTCCCTGGACCCCTGCTTCCCTACATGTATGCTCCCTGGCCCCCTGCTTCCATACATGTATGCTCCCTGGACCCCTGCTTCCCTACATGTATGCTCCCTGGCCCCCTGCTTCCATACATGTATGCTCCCTGGACCTCCCTGCTTCCCTACATGTATGCTCCCTGGCCCCCTGCTTCCATACATGTATGCTCCCTGGACCCCTGCTTCCCTACATGTATGCTCCCTGGCCCCCTGCTTCCATACATGTATGCTCCCTGGACCTCTCTGCTTCCCTACATGTATGCTCCCTGGACCCCTGCTTCCATACATGTATGCTCCCTGGACCTCTCTGCTTCCATACATGTATGCTCCCTGGACCTCTCTGCTTCCATACATGTATACTCCCTGGACCCCTGCTTCCATACATGTATGCTCCCTGGCTTCCATTCTCCCGTGCCACATCTGATCACCGTTGTGTTGGTCCACAGAGCAACTCAACAACCTGGCGCAACAGCACCGGGAGGAGATGGAGCAGTTCGTGCGGGAACAGGAGACGAACACCAGGCGCATCAATGAGAGCTTACAGGACAAGCTTGTGGCGCGGCGGCAGCGGAGGGCTCGCATCAGGGTGGAGGAGGCGCAGAAGAACGCTCTCTCTGCCTAACTCCACCAGCCGCAGGGCCGTGCTTGCATCAGGGTGGAGGAGACGCCGAAGAACCGGACTACTATTTGTTCGAATGACAAACTTTTATGTTTTGCTGAAAAGTGTTTTAACAAACAATAATATTTTGCTCTCATGTGCTACTGAATCTTTGGAAACTGTTGTGGTATAAACACAATTCCTACGTTCATATGCACCAAGAATAGTTTAAGGAGAAAGTTGTCTTTCTGTGCGTTAGAAGGTCTCGTCAGCCCTGTGATAATATGAGACACCAATGTTAGTGTGGTGTGGTGTAGTGTACCACAGAAACCACCAGGTGTAAGAGCACATTACCTTTGTACCTGCCTTGTGGGCCTCTAGCTACTCTCCTAGATGGTGGTGGCTCCCAACATCAACAGGCTGGTACATCAGCAACTACGTCCATGCTTCTATATAGCAAAATATTTACAATATGTTTTTCGCACTTTAGTTTGCACCCAGATATTATTTTAAATACATGTTTTGCATTTAAATTTGCATCAAGATATCTGAGGTGTTAATATTAAGTCTTAATTCCTAGCCCAAGGGTCAGGACTCAAATCCTCGCAGAAGTCGTGTGTATACAGACGACTGAGTTGACTGTAGTTGGGCAAGATTTGCAGACATGTGGATAGCTGCCCCATCACGTCTAACCTTCGTCCCTACGGAAGCTAGGTTGTGATGGTAGACATGCACTCCCCTATCCCCCCACCCATCCCTTCCTCCCCATCCCCCCATCCCCTCCCCATCCCCGGGCAACTCTGGGTAAACGACTCAAGTTGTAGCTTAGAATCTACGTTGGTCCAACATTGACATATTGTGTATTTTAGATAAGTTTAGAATATTTTGCAGAGTGACTGTGTCTCAAGCCCGATGTTGATGTGAAGATGTGTATTGAATTTTGTAACTAGCTCATCAAGATTGTAACTTGCTTAGCTAAATGAATTGTGGGGTTCAGTCCCTGAGCCCATTATGTGCCTCTGTAACTCTTTCCCCTACCGCCCACAAGATGGGTATGGGGTGCATAATAAATGAACTAAACTAACTCTCTTTAATTCACTTTATGCTTTTGATCTCGATTAGTATTAAGTTTTAGTCTAAGTTTATTTGTATTATGTTTGTAATTCATTTCAAAGTATGTATCTTTACTGAGATGGTACATATAAGGTCATATGTATGGTACATATAAGGTCATATGTATGGTACATATAAGGTCATATGTATGGTACATATAAGGTCATATGTATGGTACATATAAGGTCATATGTATGGTACATATAAGGTCATATGTATGGTACATATAAGGTCATATGTATGGTACATATAAGGTCATATGTATGGTACATATAAGGTCATATGTATGGTACTTATAAGGTCATATGTATGGTACATATAAGGTCATATGTATGGTACTTATAAGGACATTTCTATGGTACTTATAAGGTCATATTTATGGTACATATAAGGTCATATGTATGATACTTATAATGGCATATGTATGGTATATATAAGGTCATATGAATGGTATATATAAGGTCATATGTATGGTACTTACAAGGTCATATGTATGGTACTTATAAGGTCACATATATGGTACTTATAAGGTCATATGTATGGTACATATAAGGTCATATGTATGGTACATATAAGGTCATATGTATGGTACATATAAGGTCATATGTATGGTACATATAAGGTCATATGTATGGTACATATAAGGTCATATGTATGGTACTTATAAGGTCATATGTATGGTACATATAAGGTCATATGTATGGTACTTATAAGGACATTTCTATGGTACTTATAAGGTCATATTTATGGTACATATAAGGTCATATGTATGATACTTATAATGGCATATGTATGGTATATATAAGGTCATATGAATGGTATATATAAGGTCATATGTATGGTACTTACAAGGTCATATGTATGGTACTTATAAGGTCACATATATGGTACTTATAAGGGCATATGTATGGTACATATAAGGTCATATGGATGGTACTTATAAGGTCATATGTATGGTACATATAAGGACATATGTATGGTACATATAAGGTCATATGTATGGTACTTATAAGGTCATATGTATGGTACTTACAAGGTCATATGTATGGTACTTACAAGGTCATATGTATGGTACTTATAAGGTCATATGTATGGTACTTACAAGGTCATATGTATGGTACTTATAAGGTCATATGTATGGTACTTATAAGGTCATATGTATGGTACTTATAAGGTCATATGTATGGTACTTATAAGGTCATATGTATGGTACTTATAAGGTCATATTTATGGTACATATAAGGTCATATGTATGATACTTATAATGGCATATGTATGGTATATATAAGGTCATATGTATGGTATATATAAGGTCATATGTATGATACTTATAAGGTCATATGTATGGTACTTATAAGGTCATATGTATGGTACATATAAGGTCATATGTATGGTACTTATAAGATCATATGTATGGTGCTTATAAAGTCATATGTATGGTACTTATAAGGTCATATGTATGGTACTTATAATGGCATATGTATGGTACTTATAAGGTCATATGTATGGTACTTATAAGGTCATATGTATGGTACATATAAGGTCATATGTATGGTACATATAAGGTCATATGTATGGTACTTATAAGATCATATGTATGGTGCTTATAAAGTCATATGTATGGTACTTATAAGGTCATATGTATGGTACTTATAAGGTCATATGTATGGTACATATAAGGTCATATGTATGGTACTTATAAGATCATATGTATGGTGCTTATAAAGTCATATGTATGGTACTTATAAGGTCATATGTATGGTACATATAAGGTCATATGTATGGTACTTATAATAGCATATGTATGGTACTTATAAGGTTATATGTATGGTACTTATAAGGACATTTCTATGGTACTTATAAGGTCATATGTATGGTACTTATAAGATCATCTGTATGGTACTTATAAGGTCATATGTATGGTACTTATAAGGACATTTCTATGCTACTTATAAGATCGTATGTATGGTACATATAAGGTCATATGTATGGTACTTATAAGGTCATATGTATGGTACTTACAAGGTCATATGTATGGTACTTATGAGGTCATATGTATGGTACTTATAAGGTCATATGTATGGTACTTACAAGGTCATATGTATGGTACTTATAAGGTCACATATATGGTACTTATAAGGGCATATGTATGGTACATATAAGGTCATATGTATGGTACTTATGAGGTCATATGTATGGTACATATAAGGTCATATGTATGGTACATATAAGGACATATGTATGGTACATATAAGGTCATATGTATGGTACATATAAGGTCATATGTATGGTACATTTAAGGTCATATGTATATTACTTATATCGTCATATGTATGGTAACTTGCTAATGTTTCTCAACGTCAAGAAAACGGTGACTTTAAAGTGCCCTCACCTAACCTACCAGAGGACCCAAAACAGAAAACGGGACAGTACGTCACTTTCGTCAGCCGCTTCCATTTTCTGCCCAACAGCCCAGTCGACGGGGAAGAATCCCAGCCCGGGCGAAATCGTCTTTTTTTTCTCAAAACTCAAAATCAAAACCAGCCATAGAATCGTTTTGAAAATGTTACCATTGTGTTTACCGCAATAATTTATGTTTCTTTCTGTTAAGTCTTTCTTTGCTAATTTTCAACATTAAGGCTTTAACACCAATATTTACTGAGATACAGCCAACTCAAATGTCAAACTTTTCATCGAGTTTTCTCAACATATTATTATGGAAAATTAGTTGAAAAACATGTAATAATAATTATACTGAGTTAAATAAAAAATGGGTATTAAAAATAAAGTCATTTTAATATTATTTATTTACTTAGAAATTATTTCGAATGATACTTATATGGGTATATATATGGTACTTATAATGGCATATGTTTGGTACTTATAATGGCATATGTATGGTACTTATAATGACATATGTTTGGTACTTATAAAGGCATATGTATGGTACTTATAATAATATATATGGTACTTATAATGACATATGTATAGCACTTATAACGGCATATGTATGTTACTTTTAAGGGCATATGTATGTTACTTTTAATGGCATATGTTTTGTACATATAATGGCATATGTATGGTACTTATAAAGGCATATGTATTTATTTATAATGACATATGTATGGTAGTTATAATGGCTTAAGTATGGTACTTATATTGATTTAAAAATATTGTTCGTTAATGCCAAATTAAGTGATTTTAACTTATTGAAATATGAACATTTATGCTTTATAATAACTATTACCGTCCAGGATGACATTGTTCAGAATATTATTCTGCACAAGTGTCGTCCTCGACGATCATCAGGTGACGCCGGACGGGTCCTCGAGGCTCCTCTCGTCTTCAGAACAAAACTTCCCGTCACCTTCCTCGCTCTTCCTGTCTCCGTCTCCCCCAAGGTACTCCTCGAGCGCCTGGAGTACAAGTCTCAAGACGAGTCTTATAGGATGTCAGACGGTTCCCAGCTCCTTCCTACACGCCCTCTACAGCTCCAGCCTCTTCAGTTCTGCCTGTTAGAGCTGTATGTTTACCTGGAGATTTATAAGGTTATAACTGTCTTATGGTAACCTCCACCTCAGACGACCACAGCCAGGCAGTAAGGAAGGCAACTAAGACCTTCTCGGGGCACTAAAGAACATCTACAACGATGAGATAATATAACACAACATTGCCTCTCACCTCATCAAGTCTGTCACGTGACACCAGCCACTGATGTTGATGTCTCTCGTCGGGTTTGTCTCTCAAGTCTTCCTACTCGTCTCCCTCTAACACACGCCTCTGTTTAGTCGCCGCTCCTTTATCTACAGCACAACGCAGTAAACGCTTGTGAAACCTTGTTATTCTCAACATAAATGCGTCTCCCAACATTTGTACTCGTGCAAAGCCTGGCCTCGGGCAGGGCTTGGGGAGTAGAAGAACTCCCACAACCCCATCAAGCAGGTATCAACCAGGTATCAAGCAGGTAAGCAGGTACGGTCATCGGGAGGATAAACTCTTCATGCAAACTGCACGTTTTCCATTAAGAAGATAGAATAATTATTATAATTTACTGAGAACTTTCAAGATTTCTCAAAACTAAACTACGAGCCTTCAACAGGATGTAGCTGATCCATGATATTCGAATAGGCTGGAAAATATGTCGCAGAAATATGTCTCCTTCAGAAATACTGTAATACTGGAATACGCGGCTCCGGCCTGGAGTCTATATCTAGTCAAACACAAAACGAAGGTTCAGAGTTATGCCACCAGGCTAGTCCACGAGCTGAGAGGTATGAGCTATGAGGAAAGGTTGCTGGAACTGAACCACACGACACTGGAAGACTCAAGAGTTAGGAGAGACATGATCAGTACCTATAAAATTATCAGAGGAATTGAAAGGGTAGATACAAATAAACGGTTTAGCACGGGTGGGACACAAACAAGGGGACACAGGTGGAAACTGAGTACCCAAATGAGCCACAGAGACATTAGAAAGAACTTTTTTAGTGTCATAGTTAACAGATGGAATACATTAGGCAGTGATGTGGTGGAGGCTGACTCCATACACAGTTTCAAGTGTAGATATGATATCAAATGTAGAAATGTAGATAAATGTAGGAATCCGTACACCAGTTGACTGACAGTTGAGAGGCGGGACCAAGGTACATACCAATTTGAACAAGTCCAAAAGGGTCGTGATGAGGGCTCTGACCTACGTCCGGGATTATCCCAGAGACGCCTTAGTCTACTGCTCCACGACATGGTCAACAGAATTGTAACCGGGAATGTTACTGCTCGTCTGGAATCATCCCGGACGTAGGTTCGAACCCTCATTTAGGGGCCTCGTAGCCTGGTGGATAGCGCGCAGGATTCGTAATTCTGTGGCGCGGGTTCGATTCCCGCACGAGGCAGAAACAAATGGGCAAAGTTTCTTTCACCCTGAATGCCCCTGTTACCTAGCAGTAAATAGGTACCTGGGAGTTAGTCACGGGCTGCTTCCTGGGGGTGGAGGCCTGGTCGAGGACTGGGCCGCGGGGACACTAAAAAAAGCCCCGAAATCATCTCAAGATAACCTCAAGATATAACGGCCCTTGTGGATTTATTCACTTGATGTATCACGCTATTGGGATTTCTGTGTACATACCAATTTTCTTACAATGTACCTGTTAACGTTTTTAAATTTTACTACAAATTATCTACTTAAAATTATCTGTTAGATTAAAGACCTGCCCGAAACGCTATGCCTGTTAGTGGCTTTACAAGAAAAGGCATCATGTAAAAACATCAATACTATGTACTCTCATAAACGCAATATACCTTCTTGTATATAAATAAATAAATAAATAAATAAATAAATAAATAAATAAATAAATAAATAAATAAATAAATAAATAAATAAAGAGCTAAAGTCGAGTCCCCATATGCACAACTAGGTGAGTACACCAGAAGTGGGAACGGAAAATTACAATTATCATTAAAATTTGAACAAACTATTATGCTGTCCACAGTGATGGGACGGGTACTATGGGACGGGTACTATGGGACGGGTACTATGGGACGGGTACCATGGGACATACTATGGTACGTGAGGGAGGCCTGGTGCCTGGTGATAACTAATAACTGTAAATATACCACATGGAAACTGTAAACATTAGCAGTATATGAACTATGAGCATTTACCTGGACCTTTCAAGAGGGATGACAAACGGTAATATCAAATCCAAAATCGCGAAAACAGAATGTGATCCGGTGGCTTCCAGGTGGAGGAGGCGTTCAGACGTCCTCTCGTCGTCAAGGTTAAGCCAGGAGTCCTTCACTGGTGTGGCATGTCTTGTTTGAAGTTTCTTGTTATCCAACTTGTCCTTTTTCTTACAGTTTTGACAGCTACTTTGATGTGTTCTTTACAAGTCAGGTCTTCCGATGTCATTACGACTGATTCCTTTACATTATTTTCCTTTCAGTAATGTGATTTGACTGCATTTTATAAGCGTTTGCTGTTTTGACATTTCGGTATTTCCATATTGCAGTAAGTAGAACTTGTACTCATTAAAAATGTTATTTTCTGTGGCTCAATGACTTTATTAACATCAGATTGGAGGTTTGCTGTGTCCTCTAGTTTACTATTGTGAAAATTCTTGTGTCATCTGCAAAGGATGATACAGTACTCTAGTTTGTATCCTGTTTGATGTGAGGATGAGAATTGAAATAGCACGGTACCAGAATAAAGATAAAGTCCAAGGGATACAATTCGGTATGGAATATTTTGGGCATGTGACACAAGGTAAGCAATAATGAAACCTAGAAATATAGGTACTATATCTAGGGAAAATATTCCAACAATCTCTTCTTCCAGATACAGTTCTGTCCGGTTATCTTGCTTACAGGATTCTCTTTCGATTCGTATTACCGATGCTTCTCCTCGTATTATTCCGCCCTTGCCCCCATGGAGAGTCCCCCTTCCTAAATTTTGTACATCCTTGACCCGCATCACTAAAGCTTTTACCCCTCCTACGGTTCTGAAACGCGGTTCTACGGTTCAGCTAAGGAAGCTGTCCGCTCTTGTCCCATCTCCCGTAAAGGTATTCCTTATTCCGACTTTTACCCAGTTATTCATTCCTCCATCCTTACCTGTTGGCAGGATTGTTGGTCTTCTGTTACTGGTAACAAACTGCGTACTCATGAGTTGTGTGTCCTCATGGCCTTCCTCCTACCACCGTAACCGGCGATGGGAAACAGCTGGCGAGGTTGCGTATTGGACATACATGCTTAATTCACGGTCACTTAATGGAGCGCCGCCCTGCTCCTTATTGTTCAGATTGCATTGTCCCTCTTACGGTCGTGCATATCCTTGTTGAATTTCCTGACTTCCAGGACAAGCGTCTGTCTTGCTTTCCGACCGTCCCTCGCGGTCACTTGTCCCTCGATAGAATCGATAGAATTCTTGGTGAATCGAATACTTTTTATATCGTTTGTCTTATGCGTTTCTGTTTTCGTATTGGCATCCTTGGTGATATTTAGCGCCCTCTGATTATTCAGCACATTTGATGGTGCTACATAGCCTTCCCGGTTTGGTGCCTTCTTTTGATAATTACTTACTTCTTCCAGATACATAATATAAGAGTGTTAACATTAACAGTAGGATATAAGAACTCAGCTCTTATGTTTAGCAAAAGTAATCGGTCTGTCTAATTACCACAAGCTACACAAGCTTCAGAAAGCTTCCTGGCAATACTACTCATTAAAAGCTACACAAGCTACACAAGCTTCAGAAAGCTTCCTGGCAATACGTTAGTAATGAATAAATATGATATATTTACTCATTAAAATGTTGGTGCTGAATGTACAACACGATAAAACATAATTTTAATCTGAAAAAGTATCTTTTTATAAAGAAATTAGACGAAAATAAAAAGCTGGTGACGCCAAATCAAGTCGACGATCCAAGCTTCGGTTAGGTTAGGTTAGGTTTGGTTTAGTTAGGTTAGGTTAGGATAGGTTAGGATAGGTTAGGTTAGGTCAGCCTAACTTAACATATCATATTTATTCATTACTAACGTATTGCCAGGAAGCTTTCTGAAGCTTGTGTAGCTTGTGGTAGCTTGTGGTAATTAGACGGACCCAAAGTAATGACCTCATGGGCAGCAGAACCCTTTTTTTTAAGACAATGAATATTTCTGATGTTTGCCTGAGCATGTTCTTTTTAATACATTGTGTATGGGGACAGGAAGCCAGTGAATATATACATGGTAGGCTTATATTGAGGTCCCTCCCTTCCCAAGGTCAAATTACTGACCCTCCCCAGAATGCAACCCCACAACAAGCAAACTTCTGGGTACCTATTTACTGCTAAGTGAGCAGGAGCATTAGGTGATAGGAACTGCGCCCAACCATTTCTGACCCACCAGGGATTCGAATGCAGAATTCTCAATTGTGAGTCAAGAGTGAGCCCGACTGTACAGTCAGAAAGCAGAAGCATGGGCACAGTCAGATTCACACCAAAGACCTGAGAGTTGATATCACTTGTCCCCTTAAGCCCACATCAAACGGGTATCATCAGCATATGCAAGGGTGGCAAACATAAGAACTGCCTTCAGAAACTTGTGTAAAGAATCATTCAGAACCTTATATACCTCATATATTGAACCAATACCGTAGTATGTGACTCCAGCATAGAGTCCATATCTAGACAAACAAAAACTTAAGTTAAAAAAGGTTCAGAGGTATGCCACCAGGCTAGTTCCCAAGTTGAGGGAGGATGAGCTATGAGGAAGGATTATTTGAACTAAACCTCACAACAGTTATACATGATCACCTATAAAATTCTCAGAGGAAATGACAGGGTAGATAAACTATTTAGTATGGGCGGTATTTGAACAAGGAGACACAGGTGGAATTTAGTGCCCAAATGAGCCAGAAGGATGTTAGAAAGCAAGATCTTGCCAAGATTTCATCTTATTCATTTATTGTTTCATCATTGAAACTCTAGTTTCATATTCGGATGGCATCATCAAACACACAGATGTTCACAAATGCTTTATAAAAGGCATTTGTTGTAAAAAAAATATAACTAGCAGTGAGAGTGACATTAGCTGGTTTTGTTATACTGTATATTAGTAATACTCTTAGAAATATGAGTATAATATTTGTTTGCTGTGACTGATGCTTGGGCTAAAAGTTTCAAAGAGAAATTTTATAAGATTTGTTAGGACCAAACTGGTCCCTTTTCCAATGAGCAGGGTCAGTGGTACATAATATGCACATTTATAATAATTTAAATATATGTTAGGAGACTGAAAGGCAAATTGCTAAAGCTAGTTTACTTCATTCAACATTAACCAACTGCTGTACATGTTGCACAAAGCATGTTTGACGCTCCTCATTATCCACTTTATAACACAACATAAATCTTGCTGCACATTATACAATATCATTTAGGTAATTCTCTGCTATACATACAATGACACAGTACTTAACATTTCAATACACGAACACATTTTTCCACACACCACAAAATTGCTTCGCTGCACATCATTAAGCTCGGTGAAAAGGAACAAAGACAAGAAAATACCGTGCCAATGCACGTGTGATAGAACACAAACATTAATATGCAAATCATGACCACATTTGCAAATCTTCTGCCAGTGAGATTTTAAGAGGAATCACTGAAATGTAACGTTTCAATACTATCACTCACAGCCTCAATGAACCTTGACCTCATAGTTTCATATCAAAATGTGTTTATAGCAAAGAGGTAGGGCTATACTACCTAATACATAAATACCTTGCACTTACAAAGTTGTTGCATTATTAAAGTTTGTGCTTCCTGGAAACTCCACACAATAGAACAATTTGAATAGCATTCTCTAGCCCGCATGATATGTAGTCACACATAAAATATACATCATAAAAAGTTCAAGTGCAATGTAACACAAAGAAATCAATTTTGTACAGTAATATCAAATTCTAAGTTCGTGACTCTTGTCTTTAGACTTCATTGTGGGAAATTAATAATTTTGTCTTCCTTTTAATCATGGACTTTAGTGATAGTTTTAAAGATGTCTATTTAAATTTTAGTTACAGATGATTACAACCCTAAAATCTAGAGAATGGATTCCCTATGCCTAGAAAATAATTTTTACTGTGAGGTATATGTAATTATGGATGTTGTACCTTCAATTACTAATTGTCTGTAAAGTACATTATATTAAAATAGTTAAGATATAATTAAACAGTTGTTCATATAATTTACTGATGTCCATGAACTCAAACAACAACTTTCAAATATAGTACTCCAATATTGGATCAGATTGTGACTATGTAAATTATAATTTCAAACATCTTAAGCTACGTACATACATTTAGTCACCTGAGCCAAAACAAACACTTGTTTGTAGAACCCAAATTCAAGTGCTACTTCTGTCCTAGGAAGGTCCTGGTTTACAAGATGCTTGGTTAAGAAACCTTGAATGTAGTTTGATAATTTATTCCCTATTTGTTCTTGTATTGTTTGGTATTTGAGTGGATGTTCTTTTTAATATCTTCACTTTCTTTTCTACACTGTTCCCTTATCTCCTGGCTGGCACTTCCCTGCCACACTAAATATGGCAATGATAGTAATAATAATAATAATAATAATACTGTAATTATAATAATGATAAATCTTGTCAATATCTTAACTCAGTTGGGATTTAATACGACTTTGTTTTGATTTTCTTTTTTTTCAAATGCCTACTCAACATGATTTAAAGTCAAAGTCCTTAATATAACAAAAGTGGCAAGTTGCCGTTACTAAAACCGGACATAAATGTTGATGTAAAGTTGAGGTGTTGATGCTTGTTAATAATGAGCAGCTCTCGCCATCACTAACAAGAACCACAACACAAGGGCTCGATAACTATGCTCCTCTTATATTTTAATTTGATTAAAACTAGACATTGCTGAACTATTTTGTCCTGTAGTCTTGTGTTCATATGAGAATAAAGCTTAGTTATGACATGGTTCACAGGTCCCAAGAAAACATTTTGTATTTATTGAGTATATTTACTGCCAGTGTTGTAGTTGGCATGGTGAGTTGGAAGTTTTTGTCATTGAGATACTTGTGTAATATATCAAGGCTATTGCTATATCAGCAATACAAACACTGGCTTTAATAAAGTGCTCAACACAAGACAGAATTACACCAAAGAAGGACATTTACATATTTTGAACAAACACAACAATTCTTGATGAATATATTCATGTGATGTAAGTGTGTGTGTGTGTGTGTGTGTGTGTGTGTGTGTGTGTGTGTGTGTGTGTGTGTGTGTGTGTGTGTGTGTGTGTGTGTGTGTGTGTGTGTGTGTTGTATATAATACATATGTAATACATTATATTTATATAACATACTTACACACTTTGACAACATCACATTAATTTCCCTTTAATACAATACTAGTGGACACTCAAGCTGCACAAAATCTATATTTTTAACAAGAGATGTAATGTACTATATTTACGCTATGGTTAAATCTTTGAACAGTGTAGCCCATGCCAGATGTACAGATGTATCATGCTACCAATGATACCAATCCTTTTGCTTTTCAATTATATCTTGCCATTTTCCTAAGTATGTGATTTACATGGTGACAAATCAAGCCTTCAATATGTTCACAAAATGGACTTAGTACACACACACTAACAAGTAGACGTAGTACATTCCGACAGCTATATTTTACTACAGAAACCAGAGCTCAGGACAATGATGCATCATATCCTTCAGTGGTCATGGGTCTCTTGTTATAACATTCAGCATGAGGCATCACTGGTAAACACGGAGCTGGCAACGACATGGTTCGACTCTAGTTTCCTACACTCACTTCTGACAGACGACAAAACAGTTTTCAGCAGCTAACATTTAAATGTGATGGAAGACTTGCTTCAAATTGCACTTTATTGGCTATTTGAAATTCAGTGAATGACTTGGATAGTATGTCTATTAAAAAAAAAAATACATATTAGTTTAATTTAATCTTTACCTAATGGCCACCATCTCGAGTGGTAGCGTCTGTAAACAAACTGAGCAAAATATTAGTTAAAATTTTTGCATTGGTTATGAGTATGTGTGTGAAATAAATATATACAGTAAGCTAATCTGACTGTCATTCTTGGAAGCACAAATGTTAAAACCATTGAATTGTTAAAAGAACAAACTTTGTCACCAGTATACACTCATTATATGTTTAATAAACATTTATTAATGGATTAGCTGATTATTTAAAATGCCACAATGACCATTATCATATGACATTTTGTGCACATTTGACACTTACAAGTCTGACAAGTATGCTGGAGGGCTTCAGGAATATCTAATAATGCAATTTTCTATTTTAGTTAAAATTCAGTTATCTTGCTGTTACAGCATGTTGCAGATGGATGGGATAACAGTTCTTCGTTGCTTTACACATACCCACTCTGCACAATCATAGTGTATTCACTCTATCTAACAATCTATATACAGTATTGTAATTCAGTTTTCCCCCATATAAAGTGCATACCCTAGTTGTTAAACCTGTCAATAAATATTAGAACAGTATATCATTGAGTTTTAAATTGAGAGGATAATGTACTTCAAATTATGAAGAGCAGAAGTAAAGTCAGGTTTTCTAACTGGCATCTGTACTGTTTGCTTTTTGGCTTTGAATCTTCTCTACATGTTTATTATATTAAAATGTTCGGCAAACTCTCGGGTCTTTGCAATGAGCTCCAAGAACTTGATGTTCAGGTGTTGACCCTACATGATGATGCACCCAGTACCTGTACATCATCAGTAATGGATTAACAATCGATGGATTTTCACGTCTGGTTATCATATGCTCAATTTAATGCTTCTTGAATTTGTTATTCATTTTTTAAGCAGTAGTACCTACAGTTTTAATTTATTGATCCTAAAAGTGTTGTTTTATTATAGTTGCTATTACCACTAACATGTGAAAATTTTACAAATTTAAATTGGTGGATATGCACAATTTTCCTCCTAATAAGAACAAACTTGTCCAAGCATCACTAAGTTTCTGATTTAAATTTACTTAAGTTATGGCACTTAGACTGCTAGCTGAAAGCTGCACTGCATTTGCATCTGTCAAAAATTACTAGAGAATATTTACGTGCCGTACAAGAATGTATTTAAATACAGTATTTTAAGTTGTCATTTTTTCAGTATATTACCTTCTTAAAAAATTATTTTAAATACCCAAGAAGTTGTGTTTAATGTTTGATATGGAAAGAAAAAATATTAACAGCACTTTTATGGTTTATTTGAATGTCTATCTAGGGATGAGTTTTTTATACATAATACATGAGCGCGGTTCCATTCCTCACCTGCACGCATCCTTCAGCATGTAAACAATGGTCCCAGTGACGTACAAAGAATACCTTTCAACATCTTTTTTTTTTTCCTTCAGCTATTTAATCTCGTGTTAATTCATATTCGTGAAATATGAACCGTAATATAAAAATAAATAGTGTATTTTATATGGTAAATATCGTAGCTAATAGTTGTGAATAACGAAGGTACTGTACTGATATCAAAATGTTGACTAGTGCCTGATCATCAAGCAACTATGATAAAGTATGTGTATATTCTACAGTTACTGGCTTCACATATAATTAACCATCTTCTCTGATGTTCATATAATGCATCGACAATAAATATTTTACAAAAAAGGTCAATATTGCCTTATGCTTTTACTATTTTATGGAGAATTGCTAGTTCATGATGCTCGGTATTCTTTGATGTTTAAAGAGAAACGTGGCTTTTAACCTAATTAAATTAACATTTTAAGCAGGATGGTATATGCAATATCTTTATGAAACAGGTTAGTTTTCACATCTTTACATAACAAGGATTCAACACCAATCATTTAACGTTTTGCTGCTTCAATATTTAGTTAATGAACTGATTTAACTATGCAATACAAGTAAACACACTAATGAGTCACATGAATCGGTGTATCCAAGACAAAATGGAAGAATATAATTAATGGGAAGCTTAAATACGAAAAATATATAACTATGATATTGAAACTAACAATTTAAGGTCATTGTGGAGGCCCTTAACGAAGGGTGTAGCATAAATGTGGTCAAAGGTGATCAAATAAAAATACTTTACCCATGACTATCCTTTCATGGGTGACAGTGGGCACTTGATTCACTACCTACCTACTCATCAAATGTGAGGTTCTGTGATTCCTATATCTTTTCTGTCTCTAAAAAACAAAAGAAGGAACTTCAAGGCTATTTGTGTTTTGGTCATAAATTTACAGAAGAGTTCCTGGTATCTAATATCCCAAGAAAGTTTTGATAAACTAAATCCATTGATAAATAATGGACTCTTAAAATTTGTCTGCAATGATATTTCTATTGCATCACTCTATTATTAGTTTAAAACAAGATTATAAAATTGGTCACACTGTTCGCAAATAAAGATTCAGATCTATAGTATCAAAATTCCCTAACCTGAAAATCTGCCCATTTTAACAGAAAAAGTTGAGCAACAACTGCTTCTATTGTTACTGCAAACAGCTACACAATGTCACACTTTTCACTTGATGCTAAACACACTGTTCAGTATCATCAACTGCTATTAATCACAAAACATACTTTTATACTTAAAAGTATTTGAACAGACTGCTGCAACTATCTTTCCACACTATTGTTTTGTAGCCAAAACAATTAAATTTGTTCTTGTTAAACAATCATAACTTGGCTACACCTCACGTTGTGGAAAGATATCCAGTAAGATGCACGTGCACAGATTCTCAAACTGTGTTTACAGCGTGTACTCTTTTTTGATAACTGACAAAGTGCAGTCACAGCAGTCATAATTATCCTTTCCAAAATAATAGACGAGAGAACTTAGTCTCTATAAATAAAAATTCCCTTTTCCATAGGAGTAAATAGAAAACAGGTTTATATCACAGTAAATCTACACAACTACAATGGTTCTGTACCCACTACCATTTACAGCATTTAATATCCCGGTATTTACGTGAAAACGCATTTCTTAAATCTAATGAACTATACAAAAGTTTCATATAAAAATTATCGGAGCCGACTTGGTGAAAGAACTTAAGCGGAAGTCATAATATATATTTAGTGGCATGTATTGTCGTCCCAATTTCCTCCTCCACCACAAAAAATACCGATTATAAAATAAAAATTCTAAAACATTTGCTACTGCTTGATTACTATTTTAAAAGTGACACAAGCACTGAGAGTATCGTGAATCGGTTATAACAAGTGTAGTCACTTCATAATTACTTCACCTGCGTGTGAGAAATTATTGTTCCATCTCTTAAAAATTCACCACTTGTCAAATTAAAGTACAGCTAGTCATAAAATTAATTAAAAAATACTTCCTATTTAATAAACATTGTTTTTATTTTGTCATAAAATGTTTTGTCTTTTAATGCAAAAAATTAAATTATTGCAAAAGTAGCTTGCTCTGCATTAAATATTTAATTCCAGAATACCATACTGTATACGCAACTCAATAAATGTCCAACTCAATCGCTCTTAATAAATTGAATGCTGTATACTCTACAACAAAGACATCATAAGCTACATAAAATACATTACAGTATTCTTTCCTTGTAACCTCCTGGTAGAATTATCCTTTTGAGAGAGACTTGCTGGTGCTCACAGCTTCGCAGCTTTCTCTGGCTGGCAGACCATCATCAACTTTTGCAGTAATACATCTATCTTATCTGTGAAATATTGATATGTTAATTATTCGTTAATGGAGCACACTTGTAAAAATCCTTTTTTGTAAATTATTTAAGGCAATTTATTTCATTCTAATTTTAATTATGAAAAAGGTTATTGTAATAATTTATAAACAATTAAAGTCCATGTAGCATTTTAAATCAGAACCTTTAACAAGAATTAACTGTACAAAATTTTTAAAATAAACAAATCTAGATATGGTTCAATTATTAGAGTAAATATATAAAGGTGCAAAATGCACAAATAACCAAGTTATCATTATACCTATGAAGTACGTGGGCGAACTACCATCATTATCTTCTGGAGGAATTTGGTCATGTTATCTGAGGATGACAGGCAGAACACGATGATCAAAAGACATTAAGCCAAAGCAACCCATGCACAGGTAAACATGCCCACAAGGTAAAGCATTCTTGATATGCAACGAGGAATGCAGGCACTCCCGAGGCTCAAGACAGTGGTATGGAAGGAGATACAGTTGAAGATACAGTAGTATGGAAGGAGGTACAGTTGAAGATACAGTGGTATGGGAGGAAGTACAGGTGAAAATACAGTAGTATGGAAGGAAGAACAAGTGAAATTCAAAACGGATGAGATAAAACACAGAGGTATGGAACACAGTAGGTATGGAAGAGTTAGGCTCTGCAAGTCATAATAGTTAATACAGTAGGCCAAGATCCATTTTAACAATGTTTTATACATGAATGTGATTACAATATTTTCAGGCAGATAGGACCCACATTTTTTGTCCACCAAACATATATTGTATTTACATGAACAAAATAATGTTTTCCCTACAAAACCTCCTTGTAAGATCACTGTCAATGAATATTTAAGAGTCACACTAATAAAAAAAATTGTCCCAAAAACATGACTCTAAAATGTGTGTTATATGCCCATAAATACAGTAACTGTAATCATTAGGACACTGGCAAATGTTTCTCAGTTGCTGACACAGTACTACCAATCCTATCAAACTTGTGAACAGCCTCAAACCTGTTAAAATTCTAAATTTTAATATTCGCAATTTTATCATTTGTTACACACTGCCAATTTACACTGTTACTTAGCCATGTATTAAAGATGAACTTAACTAATTTAAACATATAAATAAGAACAAAGTTTTTACTTGAAAACTATGGCACACTGGAACGCATTATTCGATAGTGGAAAGGGCCAATCGTAATATTCTGCCAGGCCTTGATATAGCGTCATGTCTTATACTCCTACCATTTTGAAGAAACTTTTTCTTTGAACATTTTGAGAACTATTCCAGATCTGATAACTCTAAATTTGCAATGGGTGTGGGATTTTAGGATGTTATCCTACACATACTATAGTCTTTGACTTGGGATGAGGTTCCCTGGGGTTTTTATAGTAGGTCTGCTTTGCCAATTTCTTTGGCCCGGGGGTGATGTTGGTTACAATTTACCAATGGAAATACTTTACCTCTGGAGTTAGTCCTGCAAGAAATTATATATTGTATCTTCAATTCCATTATCAGTACCATTTCCTACTTTCATGAGGCAGGTAGGATTAGGCATAAACCCAAATAAAAAAAAAATTAATTTACAACAATGCATACACAAATGAACACCATCACGCAACAGTGTCTTGGCCACAGCAGCACTATACTGCTTTGTAAGATTATGAATTCTGTGTCTTTTAAGTTGCCATAACACTTGCAAAGATATTTCTTCCTCGAGAACAAATTTATAATTTTACTCAATTATAAAATTACTCCGCAGTAATTCTCGTTCTCTATTATACTGTACATTAATTTACCTAAATTGGTTCTAGTGTTTCAATAGTGGCAAAGTAAAGGCTAAGAGTTCATCTTTTATAAATTTATGAATATAAATCATGGCTACAATGAGAAATGTTAAGGTATGCTAAATGTTACTTTCTCCTATAGTACTATAAACTCTGAACCTTGATTATGGCAGTGTCTTAAAATTTTAAATTGTGGACTAAAAATGTGTTTACATATAAAATGTAAACCAATCAAGCTTCGAGTAAAATGGAAAATAATTTTCTGAGCAAATTGTTTTGTTGCTTCATAAGACAGCTTCTTGGCTCTAGGACTGGTCTGTGCCTTAGTAAGGGTGGGAAAACAGTCCGTAATGGCACAGCAGCCATCTATTGTTTGTTGGTCATACTGATGCTTGAAAGACATTGGAAATACTAAATCCACCACAAAATGACTGCCAGAAAACACACACAAGTGTTTCTTGGTTTTCTTACCAAAAAAGTGCCAGTTGTTACACGTGACCATTGGCAGAGAGCAGAGAGCAGCACATGACTATCTCCTGACTGTTACACTCAAGCTGATCCTTCCCCCCTCTTAACATATCACAAAGACTGAAGAGACATAAGAGAGTCCAGGATCAACAGAGCAACTTGCTCACCAAAGTGCTTTTCATTTTGCACCAAGCATAATTTCTCAATTATGCAGACGAGTCATTCTCAGACGATTGGCGTTCTCAACTATGCCACTGTTACTCCCTAAGTCGAGCATCCATCAAAAAACAAAGACAACAGTCAAACCACAGTAAAGAAATGAATGGGGAAACTCACTTGCATTGTGGCAGAAGAGAAAGCTCCGAGGTGCAATTTTTAATGTCACCATTGTCATATATTTCAATGCCCAAACCTTTTAAGCTGTGGTTAGGGATCATCAACCACTCCAAGGAAACACATAAATAACAACAAAATATAAAGTTGTACCCTGAGCGAGTACCTCGATGACAAGGGTTGATTTCCAGGGCTGACACCTTGAGGGTTCATTTCTCCCAAGTTTGAATATCTGAATAGAACATGGCTGGGAAAATACCATGAGTGGGGCAAAGTTCTGTGGGTCATGAGCATGAAGACATGCCTGTTCATGACTTGGCTTTACCACTCTACAAACAGTTGTGGAAAGCCAGTCCAAAGGAAACCCAGACCAAAAAATATTACTGCATTTAATGTTGGGTACCTTCCTCTACATACATGGACAAGAGGGGCTAGCCACTAGTTAAGTTAAGGAGCAGAACCCAATCACAGAGCAGTAATAAGGGGGGGAGGGGGAGGAGCTGCTCCACTAGAGCCTCCAACCCCCTCAGGATAGAGAAGATCACTACCCTACTCAGAAGTGGGGTGACGTGCCAACTCCAGCCGAGACTTGGTCTCACAAACACACTGGAGGAGTGGAGGGCCAGTAATTGTATTGGGAAACAAAACACTTATAACCCAGTTGGTTTAAAAAAAAAAAAAGAGAGAAGCAAATGACTGGTATACATGCATACATTGTGCGTACACACAAACAGCACGAGCCCAATCCACATCAAAACTAAAGTTCCTAAGGGTAAAACCAAATTATTTAACTTAATTCCAGTCCTCGCATGTGCAAGTAACTAGTTTTAAGGCCAATCAAATCATGGTAAGGATTGTATCTGGAAACCCTGTGTTTATATCAGGCACTGCTGTCTGGTGAAGATCAGGTGAGCGATCAAGAGGCAAACACAAATTTTCAATGCTTCGATTGCTAATTAGTGATTGCCAAACAATCAAATCCCTTCCAATGTGCTTTATGGCAGTCAACTGGACTAGATTGAATTTTCTTCGGTCTCCCTAGTGTCAATTTGAAAATATCTCCGCTGAGCCAGTGCAGACTGGAATCCTGCCCCCAACTGAAAACAGAGTTGATGAGCAGCCAGCAAGTTCTTTGCTACAGGATGCAATTTAGTAGCATAGGTCAGAAACAGTACAGTACATGTCATAGTATATACCACTTCTTAACAATTTAGCACCACTTATACTATGTATAAGCATGAAGCAATTTATAGCGGGCATGTTTATGGTACTGCAAGAGTGCACAAACCATACCATCGTGTGGGATTCTTCAAAGTTAATCATGATCATGTGGGATGTTCCTAATTAAGTGTATCACATAGAATTCCTAATAGTGAACAATAATTATCAAAGATTTTCTTGAGCTGTGGTTATCACGTAGGATTCTCTAAAGTGAATTGTTATTTACCACCCATACATATTTATTTCTCTCATTTAGTCAATAAGAAGCATCCAATATCTTTTTGTGAGAAATTAAACATTTCTAGTAATTTACACTACAGTATTATGAAGACTTGTGCTATAAATGCTGCTAATTTGTAATTTTAAGACTGAGTTTTCAGGATGTGACATCTCTGCACAATTTTGTTTACCAATAAACTGGAGTTACTAGTCTCCAGGTGCATGTGTTCCTAAATTCTCTTATGATAATTCTGCAGGCATGAAAATTCATTCTGAAAGGTGAACGGCATGACCAATATTAATTCCTTTAATATTAATTACAGCTCGGCTTTAGCTGTAAATATACTGTAGCAAGTAGTGTTCATGCCCACTGATGGTTTTGGATTATCTACATAGGCTACTCTATTTACTATTCAGTCCCATTAAATTTACATAAATTTATATAGAGCAACCAGCCGAGTACAGGACAATGTACAATCCATCCATTGGTTTTGCACCTAAGGTTACTTTCAGCACTGTGCATTTAAACCACCTCACAATCGTGGGGTTCCATCAACACCTCATGACATCACAGGTCCATGTTTGTTGCCATATTTCAAGGAAGGAATAAGGACGTCCATGTTCTACACGTGTGTTTGACAAAGTGGCAAGCACACGTGTAGAAAATAGACATGGCTGACTTAGCGATCAACAAGAATGGGATACCAAACTGACTACTCTTTAAATCTTCTTTACGAAATGATGGTTCAAGTTCTGCAATCATGACTGATGATGTCATGGTTGTCAAGGACCATTATCATCATCATTCTTTTTGTTTTTCCACCACCCTTTTTCAAATCAATTTATGCTTTGATCTCAAATAGTTTAAAGTTTTAGTCAAAGTGTTTTTGCCACATCTTGCCCGAAACGCTGTGCGTATTAGTGGCTTTAGGCATAGTATGTACTAGCTCTATCTAGAAATCTAACATTCTGTTTCTAACTCATCTTGTATGTATGTACTTTTACCTGAATAAACATTATTTATTATTAATATATTATTATTTATGTACTCAAGTCTATTAAAATTAAATAGATACAGTATAAAGTTCTTATAGGCAAAATGCTGTTTATTTCCCTTTTAAAATGCAATATATATTTTTTAATTTGATTTTCTTTATTTTACTGATTTCTTCACTTTGTTTTAATTAAACACGAAATTTTAACTCGATACCTTCGATAGTTTCATTAATAATTGCAATATTAATATACTGGTAATTATAATGGTCTGTGCACCCCTAAAGTATTATCTATAAATTTATGTGAGCTTTAATAATAGAAGCAATTTTAAGAAAAAAGTGGTGCTCAGTAGAGTTTTGACCGAAATGAAAATAAATTTAGAAGTAGTGCACGACAAAGTGTTGGAGTGCTCACGAGTGTGTCAACAGGGGCTGCGTGTCAGCGCACAGCTCCCACTTTTACTGGTGCTCACAGCAGAATTATGGGATATAAGTAAGTAAGCAGTGGTAGCTTTTAGTGCTAGTCATTGGTGGATTTTTCAAAGGGCACATGATAAGATCTTGAAGAAAATAATGAAGAAATCAAGAAGTATGATCCTACAAGGAAATTGCTTTGTGATAGACCATTAACTGAAGAAGAAAAGCATAGCAATATGGATAATATTTATAATATTATGGTAATAAGTCCCAATTAAAGACAACTAGTATTTAAATTAGCAAAAAATGGTGTGAGAAAAATTAAGATACAAAGAATAAAGGCATTACGGAAAAGCAGACTGAGGAAATAAGAATGTAAGGAGAATCTGAATGAGAACTGGTACATGTGTGACGCAGCATCACAGGTATAAACAGAGCGTGTTAGTTGTATGTTAAGTAAGAAGAGTTTATGAAGAAGATGCAGGTCTTGGAGACAGTGGCACTATACATTTGAGAAGAGAAATGAGACTTTCCCAAGGTTATAATATGTGAATAAACAGACCCCCTTTTACCAGATATAAAAGCATGCTACACAGTGACATGGCCCAGCAATGACATACACTGCTACCTACACAGTCATTACCATTCTCTAAAACATTTCAATTAGTTTTCGTCTCGGCAGGTACGACGACCATCAATTTCTGCATTACTTGTGTAAATTTATCTGATGGATTAAAAAATCAAGCTCTGAGTAAATATACAAAGCTACTTCTCAGCATGACACTTGAACGTTGCCTGAGGTAACATCACTGAATATCCCTCTGGATGGGAGCCTTAGTCAGTCGGGTAACATTTTGCACCAGCACCACTTTTCAAACATGACTAATATTACAATGGCACTAGGGTAGCATTGAAAAAAACTAAATTGAAAATTAGACAACCAGCCCCATAGAATTATCCAAAAAGTCTTAGAAATATGTAAACAGAGGAGAAATTAAATATTTTCTAATTATAATATTTGTAATAAATGTAGAATATGAATAAACATTATTTATGTAGAAATGGTTAATTTTATAATAAAATGGGACCTAAATTAGTGGTGGGAGGTGATACGAAAGGAAGTCAACAATTGGAGCACATCGTCAACTTCCTTTGGTGTTGCCTGCCACCTGGTTTTGTCATTTTAACAAAAATTTGTTTATTTCAAAGTAAAATTGTTTATTTACGTTCTGCATGAAACAAATTTTCTTACAATATTTACATAATTTTATGAAATTTTTGGGTAGTTTTGGGCAATTCTATATAGCGGTTGCACAAGTACAGGATGTCACCTGCCCTGACTCTCGTAATCATCTGCAAAGAAACAGTCAGTGATCTTGCCTTAGAGCATTCCAGTGGAAAAGGAAACAAAAAATGCTTACTGTAATTCAAAAGCATAAAGATAAAGCCACAGTATATTTAGCATGTCCATACTTTTTTTTATCTTTTTTTTTTAAGATCCAAGTTAAAAAGAACTAAAATTAACTGATTTTGCATGTATTTTATCAGTGTTATGGCTTCAGTATTCAGTAGTCAAGATGATTATTTCCTGATCTCTTGAAAAAACAAAGCCTTCTAAAATGCTAAATATTTAACACATGTTGACCAGACCACACACTAGAAAGTGAAGAGACGACGACATTTCGGTCCGTCCTGGACCATTACACAAGTTAACATCAGTTTACTCAATTGATTAACCCATCCATTGTGCAAGTCGTACACAGATGATCACATAATATCTGACCACACCGAGTCATATCTGACCACACCGAGATGATTTAGAGTACCAAGCAAGATTTAAAAGTGCATATACATGGGGTTCACATTTGTTTCCTTAAGCCTCCAGTAAACAGATGCCATCTTGAAAAAAATAAAAATTGTAGGCACCCCTCCTGGGTGTGAAGGCCTCAGTATTAAGAGTGTGACTGCTGTACAGATTGCACCTACAGCATCACTTAATTTTGAATACTGGAAAATAAAGAATCAAGATTACCTGGTTGATACCTGGTTGATGGGGTTCTGGGAGTTCTTCTACTCCCCAAGCCTGGCCCGAGGCCAGGCTTGACTTGTGAGAGTTTGGCCCACTAGGCTGTTGCTTGGAGCGGCCCGCAGGCCCACATACCCACCACAGCCCGGTTGGTCCGGCACTCCTTGGAGGAATAAATCTAGTTTCCTCTTGAAAATGTCCACGGTTGTTCCGGCATTCCGGCAAGATTATTTTGCGATGATAGTGTTATAGAAGATCCTGACTGATGAAGGCTCTGTACAAGGTTCATATATCAGTAAACACAATGCTAGTTATGATGATCATGGTATGATGCAGACATTCCCAGCATACAGCTGTGGCCTCTTGCATTTATGCATCATGAAACATGACCACATGTTCATTTAAAAAATAAACTTGTGGAAGAGTACTCATATTCATAACTTGTCCAGGAATTTCCAGGAATTTCCAGAAATCTGATAATAACAGCAGTGTGTCTCTAGAATTAGAGATGTGTATAGTATATCGTGATGCATTCTTCTGCATCACGTTATGTTGTCTGCTTGCATCATTTGACAGTGTACATGCATGTAATTACCAAAGTGTAGTTATAGGATGAGAGCTATGCTCGTGGTGTTCCATCTTGCCAGTACTCTTTCATGTAACACTTTGAAACTACTGACGGTTTTGGCCTCCACCACCTTCTTATTTCGCTTGTTCCAACTGTCTACCACTCTGTTTGCAAAAAAAAAAAAATTCTCATTTTTTTTTTGGCACCTTCGTTTCCTTAGCTTGTTCTCTTGTTCGTGAAGTTGCTGGTTTCAGGAATTCCTCTTTGTCAATTTGGTAGATTCCTGTTAGTACTTTTTAAATGGTGATTATATCACCTGTTTTTCTTCAATCTTCTAGTTCTCATCATCAGGTGACAACTGGTGGGGGTGAACAGACAGCCCAGCTGGTAGTTAGTGAGAACACTCATTTAGTGGTCTCTTGTGACAATCTTTGTCAAGATTGGCTGATTAATTTCTCCAGTGAATTCCTTAGACATTATGACCCTGCAGGAATCGTTCACAATTCCCAGTGGTGCCATGTTGTATGTTACTCTGCATGATTATACATGACATAGTGGGATCTTGTTTGAGGGAGTAGCCGAATGCAAAAGCTTTATGATATGAAAACAACAGCTGTCATCGAGCTTAATTACTCAATAATGAATGAGTAATTAAGAAGAAAAGAAAATTTTTATGATCATACATAAACATTCTAAAGTTTCAAGCAGTATGTAGAGGCATTCTGCAGATATTATGTACAGAACATTATTATTGTACATTATAATGTACAGAACATTATAACAAATTTCATTTTTTTCAAAATATTATCAGAGGCTTACTCTTACTATGTTGAAAAATACAAAAAAAGACATGGGGCATATTTTCTTCAGTTTCTCTTATTATAGTACAGTATGGTTCTTTGAATTCATATCTCACTTTTTAATTTTTTAGGGCACAGTGTCTAGCATAAAAAAAAACAAGCAGATGCAGATCACAGCTTCATAAGAGAAACGAAATAAAATCGTATAATATTAGAAAAGTAAGTTACAATTTTAACAAAAATGCACGATAATGGAACTGCACGATAATGGAATAATTCACTGCACGATAATGGAAAAAATTTTGCTTATACATAAGGGTTATCAGTTTCATATCAATGAAAGGAGATGTTCTCAAAATATAAATGTTTATACAAAAAATTTGGTATGGGGGTCAGATAGCTCATTTTCAACATTTATAATATCATTTTGGCAGAGACTTCAGTATTCAAAGCACCATTCAACAATGATGTTGAATGATGTTCATGATGACATCATGAGAGTATGATGTTCTCATGATATTAAATGAAAAGTTGCTAGAATACAAAAAAAATGGCCCAACTGCATCTAGTTCTCATCACTTAGTAATTTAAAGTAACAAACCAACAAATAGACATAAGTTAAATTTTCAATAACATGAAGCCAACACTGAAAATATAAATTAACAAGGCCATATGCCTCATGGGATTTAATAATGGCTAACAAACCAACAAATGATAAGTCAAATAAAGACACACTAGAAATGTCAAACCAGCATTGCCAAACCAACCAACAAAATATACTTTTATTTTGTCAGTTCTAAGTTCTAGCAAGCAGTTTAATGCCGTCACTCTCCACACTAGTCATAGAACAACAGTTAACATACAGTGGGACAGTAAATTATGGCATGATGGCTCAAACACATTAACATATGAAGCTTCTTGGATATCAACTGGCGAGAGGCACAACAAATGTGTATTGTACTATATACATGGACACTCCTCTCAATACAGGGGTTACATTGAGTGTAACCATTTAGTCATTGAAATGTGGTACATTAAATTTAATAACCTTAAATAATGAGCATAGATTTCCCGTAAATATTACTCATGATAAAAAAACTTCCATAAAATAATGTCTACTCAAAAAGCTGGGATGACCTTTTGATGAAAGTAAAACATTTAATTCAAGAAGCTTCACAATCACAGCTGAAAACTCAATGCTTAAGTAACACACAATCTGTTTCCACTTACTGAGTCCCCGCTTAATCCATACTGGTTTCCGAACTTTAATGAAGATGAGATAAACTGGGATCCCCGTAGAAATGATTCCAACACCAATACCTGTTGAAGTTTGGTTTGATTATTTCAGAGTTATCGTTAAATGATGCCGTAACCAACATGCATTTCTACTAACATCGTTTATACAGAAACTTGCTTTTGAACAGAATATGTTTATAGGTACAGTACATTAATTATAATAGTCAATAATTTAGTGGTTCATTGAAAATGTAAACTGGCCAAGAACCATAAATCCATCCCATACCAGACAAATGGAGTTAATCAATACTTTTGCTGGACATACAGTACTAAATTCTAAAAGTAAACAAAAATACAAGTGCTGTAGCTATTATTATAAATTATATACATGTAACATATATATAATATTGTGTGTTTATGTATGTAATGTTGGTGTATATTTATCTACCATACCTTTTATGGTGAAAATAAATATTAAGTTTGCTTTGATTCTACACAATGTTAATAAATGACCTAATACAGAAGTATCTTTCAGTACCTGTTATTCTGACCTATCATATTCATTTGTTTCTAAGGAAAGAACAGCACTGTGCTGAAGACAGGATTCATGAATAGTCAATAAGGACAGTATTCAGACACCATCACTGGGGAAGTTTACAAACATCCTCACGAGATCATTTACCCAAGGGCAACCATCTCTAGTAACCTCAACAACGACAGGAAGCCTGTGGCTCAAAGGTTTTCACCTCCATTATTCTTGAGGGTTTTTCCCAGCTGAATTTTAAACTGAATCAGGTGAAAGGAAACATGCCTCCTCTTGAGGTTATCTTGAGATGATTTCGGGGCTTTAGTGTCCCCGCGGCCCGGTCCTCAACCAGGCCTCCACCCCTAGGAAGCAGCCCGTGACAGCTGACTAACACCCAGGTACCTATTTTACTGCTAGGTAACAAGGGCATAGGGTGAAAGAAACTCTGCCCATTGTTTCTCGCCGGCGCCTAGGATCGAACCCGAGACCACAGGATCTCAAGTCCAGCGTGCTGTTTGCTCGGCTGACCGGCCTAACCCTTTGTCCTGCCTAGAGATCAAATCCAGAATCCTCAGTTGAGCCAAGGATGTACACCACCATGGTACATGACCCTCATTTCAAAAGTTCCAGTAGACCACCACCCTGCACCTCAGGCAAGGAAGAACTAACAGCTGTTCTATTTAAGAACAAAGACCACATATATCACTGGATCCAAATCTTCACAAGTTCAGGGCTGTGTGTTTCCTGGTTGCATTTAAGGGTTCTTTTGGCACTCATGGAAGGCATTACCTCACCAAAATCATTTAGAGGTCTGCAAGGCTGTCCAGTGCCTCTCCAGGAGCACTTAGTTCCTCCATCTTGTAGCTAGGAGATCCCGTGCCTCTCCATGGAATGGAGCAGTTTCCTTCACAGCTTTCTCCTCCTCTTCCTCTGACTGTCTTTGTACCAAGGCTTATTTGGTATGTACAGGTTCTTCACCCCTGTGGATGTGTTGGTTTGTGTGTGTTGTTTCTCAGCTCCACAGGGAAGTGATTGCCATCCCTGCCTTGCTGTTGTTCAGTCAAGTCTTTGGGAATAAGAGCTGGACATTGCCTAAGAGATCAACTGAATGATCTGCTCAGAAAGTGACACATCATCTACACTCACAGCTGGTATTTCTCTCCTTCAATTTACTTAAAATATGCATTAATATTTGTAATAGCTATGAAAAAAAGTGAAACTATTATCACTTTATTGAGTAATAATGTAACTATGAGGGCAAAGACCCTGAAATTACTTATATTGTATTTCTATTAAATTCTAACCTGTATACTAATTTCAGTAAGCTATTACCAGCATGTTGGATAATACACTTTTCTACATTTTTTCAGGTACAGTACTGTATATCGACCTCTATTAGAGTAGTGCACTGTAATGCATTCCTCAGTTAATACTGTAATACAGTTTGTATATTAAGCTGTTTGAAAAATCAAGAGAAGCCCATTACTTTTGTTTTACTCAGACAAAGAATTACATGCTTTACCGGTTTCAATGGGTGCCGCAATCATGGGTATAATGGTGATGAGTATAGTGGCGATGATGTATAGAATTGGCCAGATGAGATTGACTTTGATTGGTCGTTCCATCTCGGGACACTTCCAGCGTAGCCATGGCACGCACAACACTGCCAGCCCGATGGACACCTGAAACATAATACATATATACATATTCAAAATATATTAAAAACGTCAACATATAAATAAATGTACTAAACTACAATTACTCTTAAAAGCATATCAATTATATTTATATATTTATCCAATCATTGACATAATTATCTATTTCTATGTACAGTATATAGCTATGTATAATATCTACTTGTAAAAAGCTATAGGGTATATACATTCATTTATATCCATCTATATATACAGTACCTGTATAACTATCCATCTATTCTGTACATCCATACAAATTTATATAACCTTACATCCATAATAATTTATCAAGTATCACTACACATTGAACCCAATTCCTTACTGTAAGCTTTATGACACCATTACAGTAACCTCTGTAGCCCCTGTAATCCACAGGACATTAGTATAAGTTTTTACCTGAATTTACCTGAGGGCCACTAATACTAGTGGCCTTGACAAGGGACAGGAAGCTGGCTGCTTGTCAAAGGTCATCCCATTTGCCCAGATGATCTTTTCTATCTTTATTTTAAAACCCAGCAGAGTGTTGGCATTTACGGCTTTGGCGGAAAGGCGGTTCCACGGGTTTACAACCCTCTGGGTAAAAAAGCATCTCCTGTTTTCTGTCCTACATGTCCTAAGAAGTACTTGGCCTTAACTTACCCAGGTAGCAAAGCCAACGTAAGAGATGAGAGCAAATATGTTGCTGGAGCCCAGGTAGATAAGGCTGAGGAAGGCCATGAACAGCACAGCAGGAGTTGGGGTCATGCGTTTAACCTGGATCATTGTCAAGATCTCTGGCATCTGACCCTCCATTGCACCAGCATAGAACAGCCTATGAAAGGTATGCTTAATTAGAAATATATCTAGATAGAATAAAATTATAGTACATATCCTGCATGCCTGAAAAATATGAAATTAATAACTAGTCATTACAGTAATAATTTTTTGGCATTCAGAGATGAACAAATATTATGCAACTTTCCCAAATTATATAAATTACTGTAAATGTTATATCCATTAATATCAATAAATCTATTTGTCAATAAGTTATTAGATATTTTCTTAATATGACTGAATACTAGTAGTCAGGGAATGGAGATGATAGACAAGTGACAGGAAAATAAGAAAGAACAAGGTGACTTGAGCAGAGCAATGACAAGCACAGATAAGGTCACCATTTCACTACTGCAAATGAGAAAATATTCATGCCATGAAAATGTTGCCACCATGCTACTCTCAAGATAAAATATATACCGTATATATAGCGCAAAGAATAGCGTGCAGTGCTCCTGTCATCAGTTAATTTAAACTTCAAATAATTTTAGATAGTAAACCAAATTCTCTACCTAATGGAGGCCTGGTCGAGGACCGGGACGTGGGGACGTTGAGCCCCAAAATCATCGCAAGGTAAAGGTAGTTCTAATTCTTAGCATTTTTTTTTTTTTTACATTATGCCAAATATTGAATGCTAAACTCAAAATACAATACATTTACAAAGGTTTGATTGGGTGATATTTAATGATCTGCAAAACTTTATACTGCAGTTGTAGAGACTGCTTGCACTATACTTAATGTCCACAGTGTCCTCAGACCATTACGTAGGCATACTGTACATGCTGAAGTCATCTTTTAATTTTCATTAAGACAATGCTTGGAACATAAGATGCAGAGGTTTATTTGATCTCCACTGATTTCATAGACCATATGATGCAGACTACATTAAATGTCTACTAACATCTGAGATGTTAAAAGTGCAGAGGCATGCTCAGGCAATATTTAATGTCCACAAATTCTCAGAACATAAGATGCAGAGATTTACTCAAATTACATTACAGTACATGGCCACTTTGATCCCAGAACAAACATCCCACAGCAATTCTGCACTACTTACCAGTGTTGTAAACAAACTCAAAACAGAAGCGCACCCCAAAGTTCACAAACATAATTTTTTCAAAACAATTTCACTCTAAATAAAATTTCCTTTAGGATAAATATCTTTAAATAAGAACTAAATAAAGAAGCATCACAAAGTCAATTATATTTGCAAATATTTTCCAAATGAATGATATTTACAAGTAAATGAACCTGCACTGTGCATTACCTTTAAACAATCCACCCATGTAACGGCTACAAACCAATATACAGCAACCTTGAGTCAACTGTAAAATTTCAAAACCAATTGTGCAAAAACATCCCAAAACCAGACTTGCAGTAATCTACCCTAAGATAAAGTGAAGTAAAGAAATCATAATTTCTTCACAATTGGCAAAGCCTACAAATTAAAACACCTGTAGCGACACAACCCACAGCCACAACCCCAACACAAGAAACATGTTGCTTAAAATTTTAACATAAACTGGAACACTTTTGTCTCGCAACTCTGTACAAACGACAAGCGTGGCACATAACATCTCAAGTCTTCATGTATTTCTTTACAAAAATGTTTCATAAAGAAAATTTCCTACATTTAACATCAATTGGTAATTTGACAAATTACAGATGTTGCCGTAGTCAGGTAATGACTCGATAGATGCAATACAAATGCCAAACGAGCAAGTGATGTTATAATGCTGAACCTCGTGCTTGCATCAGACAAAACAGCAGCTGAACCAATTTATCTTTGCCAAATCCCACTGAGTAGCTATAGAGTTTAGTATAAAATATCACAAATGCACAGTAAAGCAAATCATAAGCATTGTTAATTTAAAAAGCAGAACTTGAAATATACTTATAATTAGAAAATAAGAAAAGTTAGTCACAGGCCCAAGTGAAGTTAGAAATACTGTAATACAACAATGAATCATCTTTGTATTTAAAAAAATCTTGACAATATTGGGTCAAAGTATGAGAGCAAAAAGAGAAAATGCATATGTATATTACAGGACGTACTGGAATGTTTTGGACAATATCGCAGATTTTTTTTAATCGGTTATTGAAGGTAGTCTTGTTTAAATTGTCGTCGTATAGCTACACTTCTTGGTCAGTTTGTCCGTTATTCAGAATGAGACTGACAAAGTGACGGTTATCACTATAAAAATTCAAAATAATTCAGTCCGACTTAATGATTCTTTTAATTACCAAAAACTGACATTTCCTCAGCTAATACAGTATTACAAAATATCTAGATAAATCTTGTAATTACAGTACATTATAATTAAAAAGTCCCTAACGAAAAGATTTTGGTGCTTGTGGCACCAACAATATTTTTTTCTAAATATTAAGTTTGAAATCATTTTTGGTATTTTTCTTCAATCACTCACATTTTAAAAAACATTTTCTTGCAAGAAAAAAACATCCAAGGAGTAATTCTTAAATTTCAAAAAATTTTCAAGTCAATTTCAGAATTTAATTAAAATGAAAATCTGTATATAGTATCCAAGTTAGTACTGTATACTGAACATTTTAAATATTTTTATCTCATTTAAAAGGAGGAAAGTCATACAAAAATTTAAGATTTAGTGAGCGAGCTGGGCTGCAGTGAGGTGTCATGGTTAGGCTGGTTCCTCCAAAACAACTATAATTTCCCTTGTTTAATGGGGGATCACATTTCTCTGTCCAAAACATACCATACTGGCACTCTCTTACTGGTGACCCAGGGAAAGCTTGGCGTGAATGAGTTCTTTATGAACGTATCTAAATACTGAACTGTACATTGATCTGCTTAAATAGAACTCTTTACCCTAAATGTCTGATGGAATGGAACGAATCCGTTTCAGTAGTTTACTATTGTTATATTCGACTGCACTGGAAAATAATGCTAGTCGTCCACTTTTTCCAGTGAAAAAGGCCTCAAAATGTGAATAAATGTATGTTTAACTATTTGCACAAATAACATAATATTGTTTAGTATAATATAGCAAAACATGGATACAACAAATATTGGTTGCATCGGAAAGATCTGCTATCAATTAAAGCAGAAATTCAGTGTACCATACAGTACTCTTATCAGTACCACATATCGGTTACTGTATATGGATAACTTCTTCAAGATTCATTTTATACTGTACAGAATCTGTTTATCTAACATTTCAACACATCTGGACTATCTTCAGGCTACAATAATTACTGTATATAGTACAACTGGTGATGTGGCTTGCCAGCTGATCACACTTATGCTCTCTGGTTAAAACACAATGCATGGATATTGTTTCAGAGAATTATTGCAATGCTTAAAAATCTTGATATAGTGTATTATTTATAAAAAAAAAAGCTGGCAAGTTATATTGTAGGTGCAGAAGTGATCTCCATTTTGCAGCACCATTTTGTACATCATTAGTATGATGCATGTACTGTGGAGTAAAATCGTTTTTTCCAATACTGCAGGCATTAACTTAGATATCTTCTTGAGGTCCTGATCAACCAGGCTGTGACTCATATGTCAGGCTGCGAGCAGCCGCGTCCAACAGCCTGGTTGATCAGTCCGGCAACCAGGAGGCCTGGTCGACGACCGGGCTGCGGGGACGCTAAGCCCCGGAAGCACCTCAAGGTAACCTCAAGGGAGGTTATCTTGAGATGATTTCGGGGTTTAGCGTCCCTGCGGCCCGGTCCTCGACCAGGCCTCCTTTTTGTTACACACCCCCAGGAAGCAGCCCATAGCAGCTGTCTAACTCCCAGGTACCTATTTACTGCGAGGTGAACAGGTGCATCAGAGTGAAATAAACTCTGCCCATTTGTTTCCTCCTCTGCCGGGGATTGAACCCAGACCCTTAGGACCCTTAGATCTCAAGCGCTGTTCACTCTGCTGTTAGGCCCCTAGTGTGTAGAATTTATAATACATTTTCTAGGCATTTTATCATCCACTTTCAAATTGTTGCCTAAAGAGTCTACCTATGCAGGCACAGTGTAACATCCTGCAGACACACATTAGTAGTTAACACCAAGATTTTGAAAAATTGTAGTAACCCTTTCACACTAAATGTCCTTGTTCACTTATCAGGAAAGATGATTGCAATTAACAACAGCACTGACCACTGTTACCTACACCTGATGTGACGCCCATTGCCCCCTTCACCTCCATTGTACATTACCTGCACCTTAATAAAACTGATAACTGTGTGCAGATACCAAACCTTTTCCATCCATTAGGGATGCGTTCTGGTAAAATGTCATTATATGTGAATTTCTCAATGTTAAACTTGTTATAGTGTTTGGGCAAAATAATGATTTGTCTTGCAGATCTTTTAAAGTCATTCTTTTTCAACCGTCCTCTCAATAAAAACTTGTAAATACTGATACCAATTTGCAGATGGTGAGGGTGCACTGTATGCCTGAAGAACAGATTTGTGTTGCAATATCTTACAAACAAATTTACTAAACAAATAATAACTACATTTTGCCTTCTGATAAAACTTTAAACAAAAATCTAGCAGCCAAGCTTGCCCTGATCCCCATTGAAATATATCTGCAGAGTTAACTGTGAATGTGTATAGCATTTGAGCTGTATACACCCTTCACCAATATTCTGGTGACATTGTAGAAACTTACACAAATTTTGATTATTCCCAAAACCAAAATTGCCTAGACCTGATGAAGACCTGATGCCTAGACCTGATTGCCTAGACCTGTTTATGCCCGAAACGCTTTGCGTAATAGTGGCTTTAGGCATTGTATGTACTAGCTATACCTATAAGTTAAACAATCCTTGTAAATATTTATTGTATGTATGTACCTTACCTAAATAAAATTGTATTGTATTGTATTGTATTGTATTGTATTGTATTGTATAGAAAAAGGTATTCCTACACCATATTTAACCCTTTTAGTCACGGCAGTAAACGAGCTTCAGGTTTTTTTCCACCAATATTAAATATTATATAAATTTAACTACCATAAATGTTAGGCTCACTGTCAAGAAAGAAATAGCTGGTTAAATTAGGTAAGGTAACACTAAGGTAAGGTTAGAGTCAGCTTTAAGAAAGAAATAGCTGGTTAAATTAGGTAAGGTAACATTAAGGTAAGGTTAGAGTCAGCTTTAAGAAAGAATCAAAAGAAGGAAGTTTGAAATTGTCATGATCATAAAAAATGTACTACTAGTATTGTATACAAAATGTGTTTCAACTATTAAAAAATATAATAAACATCTAAAATCTGAGAATCATGAAGTACATATTACAAATAAATGTTGAAGTTCTAAAAGTGCAGTAATAGGTAATTATTGATACAGTTTGAACTAAGTGCAATGTAAAGTCTGCAGAGATACAATCTGCATGGTCAGTGTTGTACCATACTATACTGTAATGTATCATACTGTATAGTACTGTACCACACTGTGCAGTACTGTACCAATGTATTTAGTGCTGTACTATACCATTGAACTTAGTTCCATTGATGACCTATCCCATCTTATTTCCACATCAGTACCACTGATGTATTGTACTGTACAATACAGCAGTGCAGTATTGTATTTGTAGTGCTGTACTTGTATAAGTACAGTATTGAACAATACTGTACAGGTAATATACCGTACTGTAATCTTAGAACTTGAGCATCACACGAGAACCATCACATGCATAAAACAACCATGAACAAAGACAGGACATATTATTGATAATAATATAATTAGGCAGACTGGTGTTGCCTGCACACTACTTAAAGTACAACTACGTACACACTGATAATTGATTTACAGCAAATATAAGTGCACTTATTAAGGTATTAATTAAGTAACCAAGATTATACTATATACTGTGTATACAGTATACTTCTATACTTCCTATAGAGGTGGCAATGTACAGTATACAGTACTTGAACAATTGTGTTGCTGTGATAACACACTTTGTAATTACCAGATGGCAATTACTAGTATGTCTTAAAATCTGGCAAGATTCTCATAACACATGAAAAAACTTGTGATGACATGGATCTGGGGAATCTTTCTCTCTTCAGTACAACAGTGCACTAATTTGTTTACAATTTTTTGTAATAATCACCAGTCTCCCTACTTATGGTTTAATATTTTTTTAGCAAAATTATGTTCACTAACAGTATCCCAAGATGTTCACTGGAAACCTCGGCAAAACACACAAGGTTGTGCGTTGCAACATAGTGAAATTGTTATATAGTCTAAAGAATTTTAAATATTCACTGTACCTATCCTAAGAATTGGATTTAACATGTTTCTGTGATTCCTGTGCTTGTCCTCATCTTTAGCATGACTATGCAGTTTACTAAGTTCAATATTAATGTCGCGTATATTAACAATATTACAGAAATGTACATTGGTACTGTAGCAGTGTGGATTATTTTAAACATACGGTATTATCATACGACTTGGTAAAATTTTATGCTTGATGTACAGTACCTGAATTGACAAATAAATCTATGTAGTGTAAAATGTTTTGTGTATAGGACATGGTTAGGTTCAGTAGTTTGGTTAGCTTTTGTACAAGGGAATTATAAAGGGTTGGTGGTTTCCTTCTGAACATACTATGGTTAGGACACGATAATTTGAGTTGATTAGTTATTTATTCTTAAACTATGAGGTACATGTAAAATACTGAACTGTATTATTGTTACTTATTTCTTAACATTATATGTAAAGAACTTACTCTACTTTAAAAAGAGTACTGTAGGTGTAAATACTAAATCATACATTGCTATGACCAATGTATACTATTAAAATATATGACAATGCTGATTATATACTGCAAGCATGTGTGTGTGTGTGTGTGTGTGTGTGTGTGTGTGTGTGTGTGTGTGTGTGTTTATATATATATTTTTTTTTACATAATTTACATACATAACACAGGAAATCACAGAAAATGTAAGCCAATTAATTTACTCAAAAACTCCTTCCCTCTTTTATGACTCTCCAAAGTAAATTTCTATGATATAAATATTCTTCAGTGACATTGCCAGTGAACATCTACTCACTATTCAGTACAAATATTACACAAAATTTTGTGTTATTGTCATTGATAGCAGGCATTATATGAAAAGAAAGGTTACTGAGGGGTTCAACCTTTAACTTTTCAAATGATAACTTCTACAAATGTTAGGCAGCATAAGCTTCCACTGAGCAGTTGCCTTGTGAGATAAACGGCATTATTTGTCAACATTATATAGTCTTCTCGGCTTGGTGCATTCTTTAGATACGTGTAATTACTCGTCAATATCTAGCGAATTAATTAAAATTTAGCACTATACATATTGAGAGAAATGTAACTTATAATACGTCTAACTTTTGTTAAAAGAAATTACAATTCACAAGTATTAATTACATGCACACTAAACTTCAATGAATATTACAGTATTAAAATAGTTAATGAGTTAAATGTTTCCTATTATCATTAACTGATGATATTTATACCATCTTTCTCATCAAATTCCTATAGCATATATTATCATTATTTACAATGATGTACATAAATAATTTCACACATGAGCAATGGTTTATAAGCAACTTGGTACACAGTGTAAGTTAATGCCATACTAACAATTTGCAAAGTTAATGCCCTCCTAAATAATTGCAATTTAATGTCTCCCTCAATATTTCCTAGACCACCTCTCGAGTTGTCCCAAGGAGTCCGGGCGGGTCTCCTGGTTTACCTCGAAGATGTGAAGAGGATGCCATTCACGGAGCCAAAGGTGGAGAGAGCCACGAATATTGGGACGAGGAATTCCACTGGCCGGTATAGGCGATCAGCAAAACTCTGCAATACCAACGACCATCCCGATGAACGATAAATTCAAAATTCAAAACTCCAAGGGCAGAGGGATGATGAAAGGTCGGTGCTTTTCAACAGGGATCATGTGAAATAACAGGTTAAGAGACCTGAGAAGTTCTGATATACACATCCAGTTAGCGAAAAACTTAACTGGGAGAGTGAGAAGAAAGAAATCCGATGCGGAGAAGTTTTATAAAAGTGGCACCAAGAGCCATATTGGCCACATACTTCGATCTTGTGGAACTTGCCTCTAGTGATCGTCCAGTTTTCAAAATCGTTTGAGTTATCAATTGTAAAGCAGTAATCAAATAAAATCATGTGCAATTTGCTTTCTGTATTAAAAATAAATCAAATTCTATTAGCAGATGCCTACTTAATTATCTAGTAAAAACAGTCATCACAGAATCTAAACATGATGCATTTTTACAATATAAGTTGGCTATGGAATAATAAGACATGCTTGCTATAAGCAACAAATATCAAGTACTACTCAAGTTTTAAGTAGGCAGCTGCTAAATTTTGAAAACAAAAGTAAATGGGTGACAGCCATTGCCAGTGATGGATCGTTCACGTCCATTCTAATCAATAAAAATTAAAGGTGAAGCTGGTAAAGGCAATGAAATCCCATTAACTGTTGTGTGATCCGGGAACAGTTGACTGGTCAAGCGTTGCCTGGGGAGTGAGTCAAGAATCATTCTAAATTGAGCTATGTACCTGGAGGACGTCAGTAGCACGCCGTTGACAGCTCCGAAGGTTGAACAGGCGACGAAAAATGGCATAATCCAAGCCATGTAACCGTACAATCTATTTGCAAAGGTCTGTGAAAACAAGGGATGGTAAGAAAGTTGAAAGCATGAAAAGTTGAAAGCATGAGAGGCAAGCAACAGGTGGATGCCATGAGGCGCAGGATAAATAATTGCCAGGCCAGTCTTACCAACTTGCGGCAAAATTTATGAGCAAGCTTTTTGTCATCATTTCAAGAACAAAGCACTACTGGTGCCAATGCACACTGAAAAAATGATGAAAAGTTACATACTGTATATAGTAGTATCACATTTCCTGCAGCTAATTAGTATACAAGAGTTTGCTTATAAGGAATGTATAAGCCAACAGTGCTAATGTGACATTTTGTAATGTTATATTCTTGATTTACACTGGTGGCCCTATTAAATTATATTCTTATACCATACAAGTTATATAATATGTACTCATGTTTGTCGCCAGCCAAAATAAATAATGCTGACAATGTATGTGAAAGCCTTCATTACACATTATACTGTAAATAAACTATTCAATACTTTATTGAATTTAGTACTCGATAGTAATAAAGTACTTGTCCACTAGTATAATACTTGTCCACACACAAGTGTGGACAAGTACTTGTACTCATAATGTTGCCCAAATGCTAAACTACAACAGTTTAGGGTAGCCAAATTCTGCTAGGTTTAATATGAGTGGCTCTTTAGTGAGGGAGAGAGTAGAGGCAATGCACGTCGTGGAAGCTGGTTGTTCTTGTGAGAGGAAGAAGAGAGTGGTGAACAAACATACTTATAGCTATTTGCGAGGAGCGAGGTATTTAATATAGTGGTAAGTCTATAAGTTGGCCTGATGACCACTTTTGATGGCACATATCAATTTGAGTCGAGGATGAATTGGAATTCGCATAATGGAAATTAAATTGAAAAGTACCCTGTCTATTGCAGTATGTGTACACTGCAAGATGCTGTGGTGTGTTTGAGGCTGCCAAATATATTTTAAAGACAAAAACTTTAAATATAGCTTTGTATATCAAATAACCATCTTGGGTTGTTTTAATGCAAACAATGAAAGGATAGGATATAACAATATAAGTAAAGATGTCGACAGGAATGAATATGCGACAGTTACATGATTAGGTGAACGAGTTATGTGATTGACTGAACGTATGGTATAGAAAGTTTTCCAAAGCTTGTAACAAACTCTGTTTTTTGCTTGCTCATCAATTTTGCAGTTTAATAATATGGCTTAAGAAAGGATTTACTTACTTTGATAGAGCAAGTACCAGTGTGGTATATACAGCGCCGCTACAGTACTGTATTTGTGTATGAAGTTACACGTACATGCATACATTGACTTCATGTGTGTCTATGTATAATACTTTATATGTACACATGTATGCTGAATATGTATAGTATATATGCATATGTAGACTGCAAATGTGTGTGTGTGTGTGTGTGCATACTTTATGTACATGTAAAATTAGCTATCAATCCGAGTGTACGCACACGTGTACATGGATATTAGTTTACCTTGTGGTTTTTCCCAGTTGTCCGGGCCAGGAAGCCTGTACTTGGTCTTATCCAGGTCCCTCTAGGCCAACTACTGACCCTTCCCCGGGATGCCTTACTCTTGGCTACCTCTTTACGGCTATCATCAGGCAAAAGGAAACATACCTAACCATTTCTGCACCATCTTGAGAATCAAACCTAGGGGCCTTTGCTTGAAAGCTGACGATAAAGACTACTGTGCTCATCCTTTTTCCCCAATCTACGTATGTGCAATGCCTCTTGTACCTATAATCTTTATCATTTCCCATTATTCCTTTACCCCCCCAATGACCATCACTTCCTCCATCTCCCCCCTCCCACTTCTCCCTCTCTCCACCCTGGGATACAGACATATCTTGCAGCTTTCTCAAAATTCGTGTCATATTCACCATTTGTCAACTTTGTGTATTTGACACTTTGACAACGTGTCAACTTTGTTTAAGTGTCAAATACTGTACAGTGGAGCAGTGCTGCCTAGCAAGTCATGATACATTACCACCCCAGCACCTAGCCAGTAATGACACAACCCCAGCACCTAGCCAGTAATGACAACCCCAGCACCTAGCCAGTAATGACACAACCCCAGCACCTAGCCAGTAATGACACAACCCCAGCACCTAGCCAGTAATGACACAACCCCAGCACCTAGCCAGTAATGACCCAACCCCAGCACCTAGCCAGTAATGACACAACCCCAGCACCTAGCCAGTAATGACACAACCCCAGCACCTAGCCAGTAATGACACAACCCCAGCACCTAGCCAGTAATGACACAACCCCAGCACCTAGCCAGTAATGACAATCCCAGCACCTAGCCAGTAATGACACAACCCCAGCACCTAGCCAGTAATGACAACCCCAGCACCTAGCCAGTAATGACACAACCCCAGCACCTAGCCAGTAATGACACAACCCCAGCACCTAGCCAGTAATGACAACACCAGCACCTAGCCAGTAATGACACAACCCCAGCACCTAGCCAGTAATGACACAACCCCAGCACCTAGCCAGTAATGACACAACCCCAGCAGCACGGACCTAGAGGTACAATGTGTAGCTAAACACATACAACAACCCAAGGTCAGTATAGGATAGCATCATACATAATAGGATAGCATCATCAATGCTATCCTGTATATTAACATTAGTTCATCATCAATAAAGCCAAATACTATGTTCGTCCATGGCAACGTTTGCCATTCTCTCTCATATATAGATTCATTAATATACGCAAGGATATATTATATGACACACCCACCCTCCTCCTACCAATTACATTCCAGCTATTTTTACTCCCACCAACCAGGAGCCGCGATATGGTTCGACCCCCAGAGTAAGCCAATGGGAAGCGAGTATGGCCGTCAACCCACCGCGGCGACCAATAGGGTTCGTTAAGGCGAGGCTCGTGACGTCAGCGGGGGGGATACGTACAAAAACAAACTCCTGGAAGATGTCCAGGACGCCTGGCACCGGAGGCTGACTTCATTAACCGGATATGTATGCTGACTGTCGCTACCTGCATGCATTATATCCGGCTCAAACAGTTTCCTCTACACTGTACTGTATTCTGGTGTATTCTGGTATACTAGTACCAGTTTAAATATTTTTTTCCCCCCAATATTTCTTATGTTTCTTTTTACTGTCGATGGTAATTGAAAAATCAATTCTCCAAAATTCATTTTTAGTCACGTACCTGATATTGAAAGGTACGAGGAGGGGAGGGGTCAAGAGCTATACCATAAGCCCGTTCACGCCAATGTTCCCAACGTCAAGAAACTGTCATACTAAAGTACCCTTATCCTAACCTACCAGTGGACCCACCAGCAGAAAACGTGTCATTTTGCAAGCCGCTACCCTTTTCTAGTCAGACAGATTTAGCCTTAGGTGAAGTATACGTCAAAATGCGACGTGTTATTACGAGGATGGATTTACCCCTCCCTCCCCCACCACCTGTATACATGTTAAGAGTATGTATATACATATATATGTATACACATGTACAGAAGGACTCCCAGTAACACCAGCTGCCCCCCCCCCCACAGCAACACGCCTCCCTAAACCTGTTCCTCACTTGTCCAATTTTGGCTGAATATAATGACCACTCAACCCGACGTTGTGGTGTGTGGTGGTGGTGTGTGGTGGTGGTGTGTGGTGGTGGTGAGTGGTTGTAATGGGTGGTTGTGGTGGTGGTGCCATGACAACCCAGGCCAGTGCGGCTCAGCCCCTGGCGGGAAGCCATATGCTTCTCACCCTACACGTCAAGTCGCCCCCATATCATATTCACACTGCCTAGCACTATTTAAAGCCTCCCTGATACCGGACAACTCCGGCCTAGCATCAAACTCCGTGTTAGTGCGCATATACATCGTACACACGGAGTTAACAGATTCTCGCACACCGTACACAACACAGGGCCAACTATGGCAATATGTTGACCAGACCACACACTAGAAGGTGAAGGGACGACGACGTTTCGGTCCGTCCTGGACCATTCTCAAGTCGATTGTGGCATTATTGCGCCGTTTGTATTGTGTCACGCTCTGATTAACGAGCCACGAACCACAATATTCAGGCCTCATAACCAATAGTGTTGTTGTTTCAGATTTAGCTACTCAGAACGAAGTGTCCATGTAGCACGGGCTATGGTGAGCCCGTTAACCAATATTGTTAATGATATATTTCTATCGGGATGCAACACTGTACAGTTAATGGTGCAGCTGATGCCACACACAACAGTGTCAACACGTGGAGTGCCTGGTGGCTGAGTGGACAACATTCAGGACTCGTAATCCTGGGGAACCTTGGTTCGATCCCCGGCGATGGCGGAAAACAAATGGGCAGAGTTTCTTTCACCCTGATGTCCCCTGTTACCTAGCAGTAAATAGGTACCTGGTAGTTAGACAGCTGTTACGGGCTGCTTCCTGGGGGAAGGGGGTGTGTGTGGAAAAAAAAGTTTGTAACAGTTGATTGGGTGACAGTTGCGAGGCGGGCTGAAAGAGCAGAGCTCAACCCCCGCAAGCACAAGTAGGTGACTACACGCTGAGAGTGGTCAGTGTTCGTCATCATATGCTGTCTGCTTTACACATCATGATAAAGACTTACACGTGTGGGAATGTGCCAGTCACCTCCTTCAACACTGCCTCTCCCTCACACCACCACTACAGTACACGGGGTCTCATGGCCTACGAAACTCGTTCAAATATAACCAGCTCTCCCTAACCCAGTAGTCATCTGATTATGACTAACAACGAATGGTTTGTCCTTCGTTCATAACAACGTCGTACAGCTATACGGGCCACGCCAGCTGGCACAGGGCCACTGGTGGCCCACTTCATTCTTGACGTCTACAGGTCAGCTGGGACACGCAGTATTAGCGCGCGTAAATAATGTTTCTAAAGACTATACTGCGACTAGTCCCACCATGGGTCACAGCGGGAAGGGATGGAGGTAATGTTTACCTGTGTGAAGCGTCATCAGTCAAGCCGGGTATCTATACAGCTTACCATGCAGCTTGAAGGCCATTTAGGAAGTGCTCCCTCCTACCCAAGGTCTGCCCCCCCCCCCCACTGCCCGACCTTAGTTATCAATGCAACATGCACATCAGCACGCCCAGTGCGTCGCTCACTCGTATATCACCCTAAACCCCCAGTCTTCCAGGACCTACATGTGCAGGCTTGCAATCCCATCTTGCAGTATCTTCTATGTGTATGTTATGAGATCTTTGCAGGCGAGGAGTCACAATAACGGGGCTAAAGTATGTTGACCAGACCACACGCTAGAAGGTGAAGGGACGACGATGTTTCGGTCCGTCCTGGACCATTCTCAATCGACTCGAGATCTCAATCGACTTGAGAATGGTTCAAGACGGACCGAAACGTCGTCGTCTCCTCTTCTGGTGTGTGGTTTGGTTCGGGTATTGCCACTGTCCGTCTCTCTCAGCACGGGTCCTTGATTAAAAGCGTTTATGTAGCCCATGGCAACAATATTAAATAATTAGCTCCGTGGTGCTTTAATGGTTGACTTCCAGTGGTGTGTGTGTACTCACCTAATTGTGCTTGCGGGGATTGAGCTCTGGCTCTTTAGTCCCGCCTCTTAACTGTCAATCAACTAATGTACAGGTTCCTGAGCCTACTGGGCTCTATCATATCTACACTTGAAACTGTGTATGGAGTCAGCCTCCACCACATCACTGCCTAAACACACTTCCTTCCTGTGTGTGTGTGTGTGTGTGTGTGTGTGTGTGTGTGTGTGTGTGTGTGTGTGTGTGTGTGTGTGTGTGTGTGTGTGTGAGAGAGAGAGAGTGCATCAAGAGCGTGGGTGACTGAGAAAGGTTACCACTAGACAAAACCATTATGAAACATAAGAGTATCAGATCTACAGCACAGCTCAGGACATGGTTACTGTTGACACCATGGCTACCATCCTAGAAATAAAAAATAAACATTAAAATGACGCTGAGACACACAAAATTACACACACACTCTTGTGGAGTTGGAACCTGTACAATTGTACAAGTAGCACTGGATGCTGTAAGTGCCTAGAGTGCTCTTGGAAGACAAGGTCCAGATTAGCATTTAAAAAATGCGCATGGTGATTGTGGCCAACAGTGCCATGTCAACTGGCACTTGAGGGTGCTATGGGGTGAGGGGAGGGGGATCCTGGTATGATATGGCACAAGATTGATGGTGGTTGGCACTGCCATCTTGGCTGTTTGCTCTTAACAACCCAGTGAGCGTTGGTGACCAGCCGTTAGTCCAAGAACTGCCATCATCTCCGCCAGTGCCACAGCCACCTGCTCCCGGGGCAGATGGTAGAGTGCCACTTATCAGGGGCCAGATTCACGAAGCAATTACGCCAGCACTTACGAACCTGTCCATCTTTTCTCAATCTTTGGCGGCTTTGTTTACAATTATTAAACAGTTAATGAGCTCCGAAGCACCAGGAGGCTGTTTATAACAATAACAACAGTTGATTGGCAAGTTTTTATCCTTGTAAACTGTTTAACAAATGTAACCAAAGCCGTCAACGATTGAGGAAAGATGTACACGTTCGTAAATGCTTGCGTAAGTGCTTCGTGAATCTGGCCCCAGATCAGTACTGGAACACACACGTCTGGCACCACAACACCCAGCTGGTTATCGTACAGCAACACCACCATGTGGAGCCATACACAATATACACGCATAAATATACATGAATGTATTAATTCTGGTGTATAATCTGCAATGGTATAGATAAATGTTAATGGAAGGCAAAACTTATGATGTAAACAACAGCGTAAAATCAAATTTTTTGGTTTAGTAAAAGTCAATAATCACAATGTGAAGACAAAGGCTCATATATAGACTGTGGAGGCATAGGCCTAGTGATCACTGGGGAGTCATAGGTCTATAATCATATAATAAGTAGATATAAAGTATATTTTTGTTAACCACATTAAAGAAATGTATGAAAAACAGTGTAAGTGTATGTAAGTGGAGTTGATACCTGGTTGATGGGGTACTGGGAGTTCTTCTACTCCCCAAGCCCGGCCCGAGGCCAGGCTTGAGAGGAGTGTAGGTGTGTGTGTGTGGTGTAGGTGTGTGTGTGTGTGTGTGTGTGTGTGTGTGTGGTGTAGGTGTGTGTGTGTGTGGGTGTGTGTGTGGTGTAGGTGTGTGTGTGGTGTAGGTGTGTGTGTGGTGCAGGTGTGTGTGATACAGGTGTGCGGTGGTGCAGGTGTGTGATACAGGTGTGTGGTGCAGGAGGAGAGTACTGACCACAGCTACAGCCTCGGAGCCCAGGACCTCGGCGGGGGAGAGAGTAGTGTAGAACGCTACGTTGGCCAGGACGTAGACAGCTGTCACCAGGGTGATGGAGATGTAGATAGCCTTAGGCAGGTTCCTGCACGACAGGTTATACATCATTATTATCTACTCACGCACCTCACTATCTACTCTCACACCTCACTATCTACTCACGCACCTCACTATCTACTCTCACACCTCACTATCTACTCTCACACCTCACTATCTACTCACGCACCTCACTATCTACTTGCGTATCTCATTATCTACTCACGCATTTCACTATCTACTCTCACAATCTACTCACGTATCTAATTATCTACTCACGCATCTCACTATCTACTCACGCGTCTCACTATCTACTCACGTATCTCATTATCTACTCACGTATCTCATTATCCACTCACGCATCTCACTATCTACTATCACACCTCACTGTTTACTCACGCACCTCACTATCTACTCACGCATCTCACTATCTACTCACGCATCTCACTATCTACTATCACACCTCACTGTTTACTCACGCACCTCACTATCTACTCACGCATCTCACTATCTACTCACGCACCTCACTATCTACTCACGCACCTCACTATCTACTCACACACACGTCTTAATGAACGAATAATATTATATGAATGAATAAAAAGAAAATGAATAAATAACATTGAATGGATAAAAGCGAAGGAGAGAACAATAATATTTAAATAAATCAAAATATATCAATGAATGTATATGAATGAAAATGAATATCAATGAATGTATATGAATGAAAATGAATATCAATGAATGTATATGAATGAAAATGAATATCAATGAATGTATATGAATGAAAATGAATATCAATGAATGTATATGAATGAAAATGAATATAAATGAATTATTTAATGAATGAATAAAAAATATACCAGAAAACATATGAATGAGTAAATAATATATGGATAAATATATGAATGAATAATAAATTACAAATGAATTAAAATGAATATAAATGTAAGAAAAATTCATTTAATGGAAAAAAGAATGAGAGAATGAATTACAATGAATGGAAATGAATAATTGAACGACTACAAATTTTATACAAGGCTCCTGGCCCGCCCTGGAGCCTTATATCAAGTCCGAGACGTTAATAAGTCTCCAGGACGGATCGAAACGTCTTAGAAAGGGTCGAAGATGAGTCGAAACGTCTTAGAAAGGGTCAAGACTGATTGAAACGTCTTAGAAACGGTCGAAGACGGATCGAAACGTCTTAGAAACGGTAGAAGATGGATCGAAACGTCTTAGAAAGGGTCGAAGACGGATAGAAATGTCTGAGAAAGGGTCAAGACGGATCGAAATGTCTTAGGAAGGGGTCAAGACGGATCGAAACGTCTTAGAAAGGGTCGAAGACAGATCGAAACGTCTTAGAAAGGGTCAAGACTGATCGAAACGGCTTAGAAAGGGTCAAGACGGATCGAAACGTCTTAGAAAGGGTCAAGACGGATCGAAACCTCTAATAAAGGGTCAAGACGGATCGAAACCTCTAATAAAGGGTCAAGACGGATCGAAACGTCTTAAAACATTTCCCCATATGTGTGGGGTTGGATCATTTGCTTTAATCCGTTAATTTGACCTCTGCTCTGTAGTTGTGTATACATATACACACATACATCCATCCATACATACATACATACATCCATATATACATACATACATGTTAGATACTTACTTGACCGGGTCCTTAAGCTCCTCAATGACGAAGTTGAGATAGTTC